TCAACACTTTCAAAAATTAAAATTTGTAGAAAATACAATTTTTTGCATCTTAGACTTTTTAACATTTCATGACCACTCTTTATGGAATTTGTGTCTAAAAAGAACAAATAGAGGGAAGATGAAGGAAAATAATAATAATAATAATAATAATAATATCATAACATATATATTAACATTAATATTTACTTGGATAATATGACTTAGATTGAAGTAGGTTAATTTTATAATATTACGTATTACACCTATTCTAAAAATACGTAATCTTAAGATTATATTGCAAACTTATCCAATAAATTGGCCACATATTGTATATGTTGACTACTTGCTTTATAAATTAGCTACGTATTACACACTTTTCGTACAAGATGGCCATATAGCATATATATTGAAAACTTGCCTTTCAAGTTAGAGACATGCCTTGCATATTTAATAATCTATAAAATTTTATCATATAGTTTTTTTTAATTAGATAGTATATATAGAGGCAAAAATGAGACATTCTTTATTCTTGTTAACTCTTTTCTTGAATCTACTCTAGTTTCAAGATTTTGTAGTTTTTTTTGTCTTTGTTAATAGTCACTCCAATTTCTTCTTAAATATACATACTTTCTTAATTCTTTAATTTCACCTTTTTTTAATATACATTTCAAGTATTGAATTATATATATATTTTTTTTATCCCTAATACTAGTTAAATCAATTGCACTTGATTCTATATGATTTAGACTAATATTAATGTAATTTATTTATATCTACTATTGTATTAAGAAATTATTTGTCAATATTATAATGATTTTTTAAAAACATATATATATATATATATATATATATATATATATATAAAATATTTTGTACTAAATCTAATAAAAAATAAATAGTAGATTAATATAATATATAGCAAAACTTTGTATTTTAAATATTTAAAAGGTGAACCATGTTTATTGGCACCATATCTTTGTTTGACTTTCTTATATAGTTTTTATTTCTTATTATTGCTATAGAAGTTAAAACATGCTAATTAATTATATTAATATTATTTATTATTATAACTTCTATTATACAGATTTGAATATAATTTAGTAAAAATTGAAGTTTTTTTTATAATTAATATTTTAAATTGCTATCTTTGGACTTAAAGATTACCATTAGATTCAAAAATTAAATAGATGAAGAAATCATAGTGGATATTGAAGGTTCTTTGATCTTTTTTAATATAATATCTTTGAATTGCATCAAATTAATTCTTTTTTTACCTTCTAATTTTATAATAACTTTAATAATAGAATCATTTTGTATTGTGATTTAGCTTGGTGATATATTTGACAAAATGTTAGAGATATGAGTAACAATTGAATTATTTCTAAATTAAAATCATTGACTTTAATCTATCTAAATTTAAGCTTAATCAAGATATTAACTTAAGAAAGATGATCCTTCTTTTGCTTATATTGATGTCTTTATTATGATTTAACTATACTAAGTTTGATTTATTATTATTCATATTATTATTATGTTTAACTTAAAAAGCACTTATAATTTGTATTGATCAAGAAGAAATTATCTATGATCAATTTTTTTCCATTAAAATTATAATCAATTGCTTTTAAAGAATCATTTTTTAGCAACTTATAACCTTGGTAAAACCATTATTGTTCATAGATCTAATTTCAGTGTTTTTTTTTTCAACATCTATTTTATGTTTTTTTTGTCTTCATAATTATATGAATCTATATTTAAATTTTGTCCTTCTACTTTTGCATTTGATTACTAAAATATTTGTTTATAGATCTTTTAAATTTAGATAGAAATACATTTTTTGATTTTATGCTCAATAGCAAAGAAAAAATTACATTGAATTGAAAAGTGATTATAATCAAGATGGTTTATTTTTCTTTTCTTTTCTCTTTTCTTTTCTAAAAAAATAGATTAGTAACAAAAAAATTAGCTCCTATCTAACTTCCTCTTGAATCACCATATAATATCTAAGCTCTCATTATTTTCTATATTTTGGATCTTCTCTAAGTATGTCCTTGAGTTTACTTACAACTTATATAAATAATTACGTTAAATTCTTCTAAAAAATATTTTAGACTAATCCAAGTTTAAATTTAAACTACACGAAATCCAAAACATATTCTTGAATTCTAAAATATCTTACAATTTAGTAATAGAGCCTACAACTACAACATGAAAATTTTGTAAGTGATCTAATATTAAAAAAGAATCAAATTTTGGAAAAAAAAAATCTTTTAATTTTCTTGAAAGTAGAAGAGAGTGTATATATATATATATATATATATATATATTAAGTACAATCCCTTCAAAATGGCTTCTAGAATTTGTGACCATTTTTTAAAAAAGTTTGTGGTTGGTATGATGTCAACAAAAAGTAAGATAATGACATGTTTTTACAAATGTTGACATTTGGAAGCCACAATGTTAGAATCAACAACTATTTTGTAGCAATTGGTTCTTACAAGAATCTTGTAGCAGCTACAGCTCTACTTGTAAATCAAAGTTTTTCATAGTTGTGCCCTTGTTGGATGTGGATGACCTTCATGCTGCTATTTTTATAGTACTTCTATTATATTGTTTTAAAACTCATTGCAGTTTGTTGTTGAAATTCCAATGTGCAAATGGGTTCTTCGAAAAATAAAGCTTTTTTTTTGCACGCAGTATCAACATAGGATACCACTTGAGATATTCTTATAAACGAAGCTCTTAAAATTATAAAATAAAATGATTCTTTGAATTCTTTTTAAACATTGAGCACCTTCACTATAGACTTATTTACTTCTACAAAAAAACAAAGCATAGCTTAGAATAAAATACTGATACAAAACCAATATTCAAAACTTAACATTTATTACAGAAAATGCGTCAAATCCTAGTTCCATATGTGCACTTTTTTTATAAAAAAATAAAATTGTGGTCCCACCATCCTTCCATGTCAAATTCTAACTGGAATTATTTTAAACAGTTATGTAATTATGAAATTATAGTAGGAGATCTTGTTCTATTTTCAAGACAGTATTAGTTTTTTTAATAAAAAAATTATGGTATCTTATATGTTTCAGAATGTCATTAATAATTATATGAGGCATGTCAGCCTAATCACATTGTAGAGTTGGTGAAAATAAAATACTGAATTCTATCATTATAATGTACTTTTTATTTTTATCAGTCATTGGGGTTTGAATATGCAATATTCAAAAAGTGATTACAACATATTTTTGTAAATCACGTCACTAACAATTTTAAAGGTAAAGCATGTGATTTTTATATGCATTTCAATCTTACAATATATTTCAGAACAAAACTGCAGCATTTATTCACCATTGTCATTACTAGGAAACTTATTGAATGTATCAAACAATAATCACGAATTTACTTGATTATTTATTTTTTTAACTCTGAGCGAAATTACTTCTTGAGTCTGCAATATGAAAAAAGTGACATTTAAAAAGAAGTATATTAACTTATTAAAAAATCAATCCACAATTTGTTATAATCTAATTTTCTTTTATCATAAACACATTTATGTATCTTATGTTCAGTTTATTTTCTTTTCTTGTTTCTCTCTATATTTACACATATACTAGAAATTTTCAATAAGTCTTACGACGAACTTTTCACAAATTCCTCCAACAAATTCCAAAGCAGAATATTTTCTTCACAATGCCCCCAAAAATAACAAATCAAAACAAAAAATAAACAAAAAATAAAAAGTCACTCCGGTGGATCCTCAAGTCTCACTGTTGTGAACACTTTCCGGCTGATTTCGCTCTATTGTGGGCGTTGCATGGGGATGGATCATATTGCGACGCTTTATGGGTAATGAGCTCAATGTTGGTGCCAGAAAAGACGAGGGAATTTAAAACATGAGAGCTTGCTAGCATCGCGAACCCTTCTCATCGTGGAAGGGTTCGGGATGCAGCACCAGATTCACTGGGCCATACCAGCTCCAGCAATTTTCCAGCTGTGGAAGGATTGGGGAAGGAGTTGATCGACACAAACTATACTGGCTCTGGGTCCACAATCAAGTCACATGATGCCCATCATGCAATATCACAGTTGTAACCAGTTCCAGTAACTAGAAAATATATCTATAGATCTCTATATATGGACATGGACATTGGATCCGCGGCCACGATACGAGGGTCTGGTCCACCCTGCAATTCAGCTGAAATGCTCTATGTCCACCAAGAAAAATTATAATTAGAAATTGAATCTAATCCACAACTAATAGTTTGTGACGCAATAGGGAGGTGGGGTACGAAGCGTTCTTTTCAAGGAGAATGCATATCATTTTGTTAGTTTTACACTTTATTTCAGAACCCCATCTCATACCAATGCATATTTTTCGGAAAATTGCTAACTTGGAAGAGTGAGAAACAATTCAGAATATTTTGGAATTCATGTTTGATAAATCATTGCGTTGAAAATGGAGATAAATCACTATCAAAACAAGGAAACCGGTATTGTTAAGAACCAAACAATGCACGATGAATGTAACAGAAATGATACAAGAAGATAGAAGACATTTCTCTGTTCTTTGGAACAATACTCCTGAAATTTTCCTACTATTTCCACTGTGTTGTCTACTTTAGCACTGTTGGTATAAATAATAATTAGCAAATTGAAATCACTGATTGGCTGTTGGATTGTGCTCAATTATACCTCGCAATCACATAGATTTCAAAAAGATCCCTTAATAGTGAAATATATGAATCCTTTGGTTATTGCAGAAGACTTACAGATAACTTTTTAAACGAGTCAATTTTGTTGTGGCATGCGTATTTAAATTAGCAAACACTTTACTTCACAACTTTATGAATATCAGTATTACATTAAAATCATCTAGTAAAATGTTTAACTCAGCCTAGACTAGAGACAGACTTCAGGTTGTTCTCATTCCATATAGTCTAATTGCTGAGGATACGATCACCACACCACAGCTTGTAATTGATACTTAGACAACCCACATTTCCATACGATGATTCGTGCAAGAACAATACATAACATAATTCTTAAATTAGATCGTTTACATCTTGATCATACTCGCATGGTTCGGAACATCAAATCCATCAAATCAATCTCAAGATACTCTACGTATTTACATCTTCAAATAGCGCCATCAGCAAGGTTTTGGCTTACACTGCACAACCCACAATTCCTCTGCGAACTTACAAAGAACTCTAGTCTTTGATAAGCAGCAGAAAAAATATTTGTAACAGGTCGTCAGCAAAATTGGTAGGAAGGTTTGATAGAGTTGATCGACCTACTTACATCTGTCTACATGTCTATTTGTGTGTTCGTCTCTCTCTCGACACGTATTTAGTTCTGGATGTATATATATATATATATATACACATTTTGCTGAGACGCAATGCAGAGATGGCAGAACAATCCTGTGGATCAAGCTCAATCTCCGCGTCGAGAGCTGGTATTCTCAAGGACAGACGTGAATGTGAGCTCCGAATGCGGGAAACTGTCCATCGGTGCCATCGTTGGGATCCTGCCCTCCGTGGGAACAATTTCACGAATAAGTTGCTTGTTTGATTCATCTTCGGATTTGGTACAATGGCGCTTCATACCAACGCCGTCGAGGTTGCTACGTTGCCGCTTCGTAATACCAGTGTTTGGGCGATAGTTAGACCGCTCTTCCTCCTCCTCCTGCTCGTTGCCCGATGTTTGGCTGGACGGCAGACTGTGTTCTTGTTTGCGGTTTGATGTCTGGTTAGAAGACTCCCCGTGTTCCTCATTGTCAGATGTGTGATTCGAAGACTCCTTGTGATCTTCAGTGTCGGATGTATGGCTAGAAGACTCCTCGTCTTCTTCGTCTTCTTCGTCTTCTTCAGGGTCGGATGTATGGTGAGAAAGCTCCCCGCGTTCTTCAGTGTCGGATGTATGGTGAGAAAGCTCCCCATGTTCTTCATTGTCGGATGTATGGCTAGAAGACTCCTCGTCTTCCTCGTCTTCTTCAGGGTCGGATGTATGGTTAGAAAGCTCCTCAATTCCTTCAGTATGGTTAGAGGTCTCCTCGTGATTTTCATTGTCAGATGTATGGTTAGAGAACTCCTCGTCTTCTTGATCCTGATCCTGAACGTAGTAGTGCATCCCCTCGTAAACTTCCTCATCACTTGGAAATGGGATGCCAATGAAACGCCTCGGAATTCCTACAGACATAGGAAAAACATATACGTGAGTGGGGCACAATTAGAGGTTAAACCAGAGACAATCCTTAGACACTTAGAACAGTAATTTTTTTCTCCCCACCGAGGGGTTGATGCCACGACAACCAGACTGTCAGCGATAAGAACCTATAGCAATGTTCGCAGAGAGAAGTGGAAAGGAAGCCTACTTTCTTCCATGACGGGCTCGACTTCGTCCTGGATAAGCACAGTATGCCCCTGGATGGGCTCGACTCCGCCCTGATTGGGCTCGACTCCACCCTGTATAGGCAAATTTAGATCCAGGTTGAGCTCAGCTTCGTCTTGACCATGTTGATTCTGATCATGGTTTCGAAGGTCCTGGACAAAATCCTCTTGCTCTTGTTCCCAAATTAACGGCAAACAAGTTGGGTCTTGGTCACGTCGATGAGTGTTGAGGGTGGAACGATCGCTCAATCCCTCCTCTAAGTTGAAATCCATCGTGCAGCGACGAATTCCTAGCTGCGAGGGATGCTACGGAAGAAAGTACACGCTATGGGTGATATCTCATACTCTCTTAAACCCAGCCAAATGCGCAACCAAAGAAGGGCTATTCTAAGAACGACTGCATGGGTTTGCGAAGCAGAAGTTGGGACGAGAACAAATGCAACGAGCGTTGAATTTTTCACTAATACCACTCTCCGCTGAATCAGAATGTGGCCGTAGGAGATAACCCACCAATTGACTTCCCCAATTCTCCTTGAACGCACCAGAAAACTCTACTCTCACTGCGGCCTGTATCCTTACAACTTCAACCACAAAGGAGAATGCAACAAATCTCTACACTTTTTTCCTTTTTTTTTTTCTTCTGTTTTTTTTCTGTCACAAGATCGTTTTTCGACACAAACCTTGCCACAATTTCGTTCACGGCCTAACAGCAAAGACAACTAACAAAAACGGTGGTCCGGAAAACACGGGTTATAAGCACCTTGCAAATCCGAGCCACTACTTCGGTGGGTAGTAAATCAGAGAACAATACAAGATAAGGCTACGAAGGACACTCAGCAAAAGAAGTTTCGGCGTTCTATTACTGACAAATCTTGACACCAAACTCGACATCCTATCCATGCAAACCAGTTTCGACATGCAAGAATTTCCCTCTCATCGGCTCATCAAAATTAGAGATGGGCACAACTAAGAAAGCACTGCAACCTCGTACTGTGACTAAAAACCAACCAAAGAACTGCAAAATCCGCGAGAGGTTTACAGGAAACACTTAGGCACGTAAAATCATATCAAGGCAGCTCTGGACCACAAGAGCGGCACCACACATGAAGATGTGCAGCAAGCTCCGAAGAAGCAAAATGGCCGTCTTGAAGTGTGGCACTTTCCATTACATTGCTGTAGAATGAATGCAGGTTCTACTTTATCTTTCACAGTGTTATCATCTACGGAACAGATTGTGGAAGTGAATCAGTTCTAGAGTCAACATTCATTAACATGTTCACTGAAAATGGGATCTTCTAAGAATGTTGCAGTTTCACTCTTGTGGTTGTTGTTTGATAAGTGATTGATTTTTGTTTAATTGGATTTTTTATATTTGATTAATATTGTAGACATAGATATGAAAGAAGTGTTTTGAAATGGAGTCCAATTTGTGTAAACCGCTAATTGTAATAGGATTACTTGTCAAAACAAAATGGTATAAATTTAACATATTTAATTTTATTGACAAATAGCAAGCCAAAATCAAACAAACTATTAGCCAATTTTGGCTTCTCAAAGTTTGATATTGAGTAGCAAATACAAATATTGGAATCAATACCTTCTTGTTGGACAATTTGAATTTGTTTAATAGAAAGCTTAGTCATTTAGAAGCTCAATGAAACCTTCTCTCTCATCTATCCCTCCCATTTCCTTGCTCATACTTTGTTTATCTTTACCCATTTTGCTTGCCACATTTGATTGTCTCATTGTCTAATGAATTGTGCCAAGGTTTTGGCAAAAATGAGAAGGTCCAAACCTTTGCTATTGGCTAATAAACCAAAAAAATAAATTTTAGTTTAAAACAATATTTTTAGAAAAATAGAAATTAGATAGTAAAAACATTACTATAGAATATTATTTTTTTACCATCCATGCTAGTGTTGTTATCTAATGATGTTGTCTATCAACACAATAATATTTAATACAACACACTTCTCACTATGGAGTTTAGACACCAATTTCAATTGCACTTTGATGTATTGTCATAATAAAAAAATGTGCTTCTAATGTAGTAACGAAATGATGCTTGTACACTTCACAGGAGTTTATGAAATGCCAAATCATAATGCATAGCATGCGACTCATAAATTTGTGCATTACAAAAAAAAAAAAAAAAAAAAAAAAAAAAAAACCTATTGATTTCGCCGCAAAACTCCACACTTGATCACATGTGATGCGAATTGCGGCATGAGGTTCAGATTTGAGCCCCGTTAAGAACACAAATGAATGAATGAATGGGAGGCCCAGAATTGGAGATCGCCACGAATCTGCGCCGTGTCTGTCGGATTTTCCTCCATCCTGTTATATGACGCCGCGTATATTTTTCGAATCCGTATATACAATTCTGTGGGTATATTTGTTATAATATTCATATGTCGTATATTCGATGTCGTCTTTGTACAATGGCATAGTTTAGTTCCGATTGGATGCGATTGTTTGTAATTATCTTGACTAGTCCACCCATGTTTGCAATTGATGATTTCAACCCCATACTATTCCTACTATTGTGTGTGTGTGTATATATATATATATATATATTTCATTTATTTACTTCTTTCTTTCTTTTGTATGTATGTATGTGTCTGTATATGTATATCACTATATTTATATAGATATGTGTATATATGTAAATATATGGTAGCATTAGAAAAGTAATCAAAATTTGTTATATTTTTTGTGTATGTACTTTAATTCGTTTTGTAATTATGATTTGATCTTTATCAACTTAAATTACTTACCTCATAATTGTAATCAAGAAATAAATTAGATATGAAACGTATAAACATGCATATTTAAAGCATTCTATTTATTATTATTATTATTAATATTTTAAAGTAAATAATTCAAAAGAAACATTTCAATTCAAAAGTAATCTTTCAATTAAATATAATAATAATGCATGTAGAAATATTCTCGACACAATCTTGTACAAAATATTCTTTGCAAGTTTATTTTTTTATTAAAAGATGTTAAAGAAAAAAAATTAATTGATGATATTCTAAAATTAACACTATAGTACCTTCATACATATCTTCTAACAAAAATATTAAAAAGATATTATTTAGATTCTCTCAATTGGATTGTTTCTAAAGAGGAAGATATTTATCATAAAAGCCACGTGAAATCCCTCCTATAATTGAGATCATTCTTTTATTCAAGAAGAAACTTACTTTTAGCCAAAATATATCTACTTATATAAATATATATATATATATATACATATATATATACTTGTCTGTTTGTCTACAAAAATCACTAATTCACTAAAGTTGTTAGCACTATTTAGAATTATATATTTAAATTATTTAAAATTAGTTCTTTCTTATCTTGAATTATCATCCATTCTCGTTCCTAATCCTTGTCTTTCCTCTCCATCTCAATTTCCTCCCTCATTCCTCTTATCATCCATCCTCTAATCTCCCCCTTTCCCTCTCTTTCATGTCTAGCACACTTCAGTACTTGGTTTAACCTACTAGGTATAAAAAAAATACTAGCTTGGTAAAATATACTCTACTATATATTTTTATATATATATATATATATATATATAAATAGATTATTTAAGATCTATTATTATTTGAACTGGTTAGAATATGATGATACACAAGCTACAATTAAGAATTATAAAATACTAAAATAAGTTTATAAAATTTTAAAATTATATTCTTTGTATGTATATCTATATATATATATATATATATATATATATATACTACCATGGAATGATTTTTACACAAGATTATTTAATAACATGTTTGATTTTTACATTTTAATATATATATATATATATATATATATATAAAATTGAGCCAAGCATTTACTAATACAACCCGCCCATTCTAACCATCATAAAATAAATCTCCATTGTTAGATTTGCATTGATTGAAAATTAATAAAAAGAAAAAAATAGTTAGATCTTTAATTAATAATAATTAATGTGTTAATTTAGTAAATATATTGGTAAATTTAATAATTATATATATATATATAACATAAATTATTTAAAAAAAAATTATCTTTAATAATTATCATTTTTATATATCATTTTATATGACTTTGTATAGAATGATATTATTTTAAATTTAAGATGGTAATTATTTTTTACTAAATTAAAAAAGGTTAGAATCAAAAAATAGGTCATTTTGAAGAAAAATTTAAAAAAGAATAAATCTAAATATCTGTATATAATTACAATTACAAAGTTGTTTTATAATCAAATTATTATTTTTCTCATTGAAGAAATAATTTATTTTTAAAATGAATAGTAAAAAATCTATTTTTGATCCTATAACTAGAACTAATAATTCTAAGTGTTTATAATTGTCAATACATTAAAATGGTAAGGAATAAAAACATGAAGTATCATAAGAATCAAATTAAAATTACAAAATTTAGAAAGAAGCATTAAGAAAAAGAATGGCTGTAAATTTAATCTTGATAATACAAATTTAATTAATATATTTGATTTTTTAATATATTATCATTATTTTAATTATTTCTCAAGTACTAAATGTTATGTTACATAGCATTATTATAATTTAGATTTAATAGAATTTGTTAGGATAGATATTGTTTTTCTAAAGAATTTATGATATCAAAATTAATGAATAAATAATAATAACAATAATATATAATAACAACTAGTTTTCTATTTTAATACAGGTAAAATTAATTTATAATTTAATAATATATATAGTAATATTGGCTATATATATAAGCAGTTATTAGCTAATTTTTTAAATTATTTTCCAAATCAGTTGGCCAAAATTATTTTATAAGTGAAGTTTTATTTAATTTTATAAATTAACTTTGAACCTTAATAAACTATTTTTAAAAATATATATTGAGAATTTTATTTTATAATATTTAAATTTAGAATTTTGACTTAATTTTAAAGATTCAAAAATTGATTCAAATTTTATTATGCTGATTGTAAATTCAATAAAGGAAATAATTTAATTTATTTTTTTAATAAAATTTTTGAAAACTTTAGTAAAAATTTAATAAAACTTTTCAAAATATGAAACAATTTTATTATTTTTTAATTATTTACTATAAATATCTTTATATAATTAATTTAGAGACTATATATTTTAAGAAATACGGAACAAAAAAAATTACCAAAATCAATGACAGAAGCATTTTGAGATTTGATTTAGCTATAGATATTGCTTTATTTTATTATTTATTCTTCTTTGATACAACTTTTTGTACATCAATTGATAAAGTATGTTAAAAACAACTCTATTGATGTTATTTTCATGACTTATTTAATATTAAAGACTTATATAAAATTTTTGAATTGCTTTAATTGCATCATTGTTTTATTACACCTATATATTTTAGAAAGTATTGTTGATACTTTGCTTGCACATCTAAGAGAAATGTTTAGTTCTTCTAAGCTATTTAAATACTGAGATAAAATTATTTTTATTGATGTGTGTGTATATATATATATATATATATATATATAAGCTTCATTTTAATTTAAGGAGAATGTACACAATTACATCATTTTATTTTTTAATTGTTACATAAATAATCTTTTTTTATGAATACTTCTATAAGGCCACAATTTTCTAATAATATCACAAAATAATAAAAATAATGGGTAGACATTTTATTAAATTGTCAATATACATAATAATAAGTTATTCCATATTCTATTTCTAATACTATGCCCTCAAATCTTTAAACTATATTTTTTTAAATAACTTTCATATGCAATTCGCATAATATTTTGTAAGCATAAATATACTCTTTAATGTTTTCTTTTTATTATTATTGTGAACAAAAATATCATGTGCACTAATCATTATATACATTTTCAAGCACAATAACTATATTTTAATATTGCATTAAAATTTCATTACCAAAAAGACCTGCCTTTGTTTTATAGAATTGTTGTTTTTATAATCATAATTTTTACATATTAAAACCAAATAACTATCACATTTACATTAACATAATAATTGCATGATATCTACTAAACCACAAATAGAAAAGACCTTAAGGATATTACTTTAAAACTTTCAATTTAATGGTAGCAATATTACACAGATCATTTATTTTCAAAAAATTAAATACATGGTGATTTTGCATGCTTTAAAATATATTAAAATATAATAATACTATGTTTTTACAAAGTTTGTTTTAGTACCTCTGGTCAAACCTTTAGTCAAATGCAAAAAAATTACAATTTGCCACATATTCAGCTATTTGCATACTTCACCTAATTAAATGTTCAATACAATGTAGATCTAATGGCCATTTGGCCACCTAATTATATATACACACTTATAATCTGTTACGTAGAATTAAGATTTCTAAATATTAAATAAACATCCAATAGCGTTTTATAAAAAATGTAGTTCATATGTACATACACATACATATACAACAAAGATACTGGGAGTATGTTAAATCGTGTGAATATTTGCCTTCAGTCTAGTAGTGTAGAATACTTGTGTAATATTCACGATCATTAATCTGTCTTTACATGATTACTTGTTTGTTCACACTTTCTGAACCAGTACTTCAGTGTGCTTTATCACGTCTTTAAAGTTTGCTACATAACCTCATTTTCATAATCTTTTGCTTAAAGGAGTGTAAATATATCACAGCACAAATTTTTTTTTTTTGTAATTTCTATAATTTTAATAAACAAAAAAAACTTTCCTATTTGTATTTTTATTTTTTAGAACTTATTAAAATTTTGAAGTTTCCCCTGAAATTGATACAAGAACAGCGCCACAATGACGACATAACTTGAACACAAAAGATTAAAGGTATTTTTGTTTATTCATACACCAAAAATTATTTCATATTAGAGATGAATATTTGGGACATAATTTCAAAGAAAAATATTTGAAACAAGATGTCGCGAAGTGCGTCTTCTGTCCACCCATCACGTGGTGTTCAATTGGAAAATGCATTCAAGTACGGTTACCAACAATGTTAGCATTGAGAAAACCATTTCAGAACCTGACTTCAGAGTCAATTGTTCAACGTTTGGTACAATTATTTGCAATCTTGGCCTGCATGGCCCACAAGAAGACTAGACATACCAGGATCCTAATCTCCAGATTTGAGGCAAGATATTCTGGTCCCCATGATTTCCGCCAGCGAACCTGAGTAGCTTTAACAGTCTCCGAGTAGGACGTGCAGGAGTGAAAAAGTGATCCCCACTTGGAACAGCTGACACGACTAAAACCTGGTCATGCTACCACGGAACTCTTTCATCTCTTTCAACTCATGCAATAACAATGCTGAATGAAAATTCTCGCACATCATCTGGACTCAGGAATGAGAATACGCAACAATGCAGTGAACAAGAGGCTATACCTCAGACTAATCCTTCTGTGACCATTTAGCCAACTGCTTCGGTAGAGAGAGTTTACCTGTAACAGGGTCGGTTAAGGTTTTGAGGCACACGGCACATCAACCGCCAAAGCCGTTCTCTGCATTAACATTCTGGAAGGCAAAGGCGAGGCATGAGTATCAAAAGTGTTAGAATAATCAGTTCTGATGTCACATCAAGGCTGGGACTCACCAAGACAGTATGTCGCAACGAGGGCTGTACAAAGGGAATTCTAATCATTTGAACCAAAATCTGGACAATTCAGCGGAGAGAGGCTAGGACAAGTCAATCTCGATGAGTGGGTGGAAACTGGGAAACTCGACAACCACCCCGCTTTTCATCTTTGTGAAGAAGAGCTCTTGCATAATCTGGCTCGGAGATGTCTAAGGTGCATGTAGTACAAATTGCAAGAGAAGCCAAGTTCACTTTAGCAAGATCCTTCAGGGACATGATAGTTGGGAGTTTCACGAATGAAACAATAGCACGTCTGCAAAGAGGACAGGGAATAGATCCTGGTGGATTTAGGGCTGCACTAGCAACGATGTTGGTTGAACACAGGTGGAGAGCACAACGTGTACAAAGTTCATGTTCACAACCTGTACCATCACTCTCAGATTATCGTTAGAAAACAAGGTCAAAATAAAAACCTTATATGTTCCAAGACTATTTTACAATTATACCAGCATACCGCACCGCATATGATCAGGTTATCATCACATAAAAAGCCTATCACAATGGAGTATGATAACCTTCTGCAGCTACAGTGCATCGTCTCTCCAAGCAGACCGAACATGGGTCAGCGTCAGAAGGTACAAGATCAACGTTTCGCCAACCACAATCCCTGTCACACAGACAAGATGATCCACAGAAAAAGTAGTTTACCAATTATGACACCTAATTAACAGAACTTGCACTAGCAAAGAACGCTTTAACACCTAGACCGATATAAAGAGCGGAATAAACTGGAAATGAATTTGCCATGCAAGAGGAAAGTAAACCACTAGCACACCTAGCAATCTTCACGATGCTGGAGAGAGGGAGTGCCAGATAGCCCGACGGTGGAAAAGGTTCAATAGAAACTGATGAGTCTGGGATCAACAGAGGCTCCAACCAATGCCGACGCCACAACCGTGCCACTTGTAACGCTGTCCATCTACACTACATCACAATTGCAATCACTCCACGGTTATAACTTGATAAAAAATTGGCGCAAAAAGCGAAAGGTGTTTTGGTAAAATGAAATTTAAAGCTTACACCTCCATAAGCTAAAATGGAGTCACCGTAACAGCTCCTACCGTCCAGTCGCCTATTACTAAGCTTCAATATTTCATCGCCGACCGCTAGTAAATTGGCATTCACAACCCAAGTAACGTCTGCAAATCACAAAAGACATATAAGTGAAGGAGTGCAGCCTAAGCAGCGAGTATACCCGTTGCAATTGGTTGCATTTCGATTTGCCCCTTTCGCAATTAGAGCCTGAACACAAAGAAAAGTCAGTTTACTTGAAAGCGAAGCAGCAAACCTCCTGTTCTTAAAAAGGATTACTGAAAAAAGGCATGCAAATGGGTACACTTGGCAACCTTAATTTTGATGATGCTGTTACTCAAAAAGACCAAACAAAGTTAAGCATAGGGAAGTAAAGAAACCTGACAGCAGGGTACACTGCCTCCACAAGCAGCATAATGCAACGGGGCACTACCTGCTCCTGTAACAAAAGTCACAATGCATTTTTGCCTCAGCTATCTTACACATATAGGCGCCACTTTCGATAATAGTGGTGGCTGGAATTTCCTTGGGCAAGAAATAAAAGATACTAAAACGCATATTAAAATACCACCACAACTGAGGGGCGATTTAGCTAGTGAAAAGTTTTGGGTAAGCATGTTCCTGTTCTGACTGAAAAATTTGATTAACTCCATGTCAACCTCTCAACCATACTCTCAAGTTAAAAAATTACCTATCAAGTCAATAGAGGTGCCATCTTGAATGGTTACTGCATCAACGTTTGCAGAAAGATCCAACAATAGTTGTACACACTCAATGTGGCTATTTAGAGCAGCCAAGTGAAGTGATGTAATGCCTCCATCAGCAGCACAATTCACAACTCTAGCTAACGAACTGCAAGAAACATAGAATCTACTCAATTGAAACATCCGGCACACGGATGCAACTCGAGAGTTAGATGCAACTTATGTGACCAAAACCTGAATAGCACGCTTTCTGAAACTACACCTCAGATGGGTTGCAACTTAAGAGTGGATGCTGATAACTAACCTTTGTTCTACACAATATTTCGTACAAGTCGATTCATCACTGTTCACTGGCTGTAACGTACTCCACAGATGGGGGACAGTGGGCACAAAATCAGCTAATACCAAGCGTATGCATCGTGCATGGCCACTGACTGCCGCAAAGTGTAGAGCAGTGCGACCATTTAGATAGTCTGCTCTATTCATCTGCACATATTCATTAAAAACTTATGTCCTGCCAATGCAAGGATTGTTCTTAGTAACAGGTTCATGAAAGTGAAGTGTAGTAGAAGACGGATGATAAGCCACGGCTGCACGCACTTTCGAGGAGTAACATCCATGAAGTTACCCACACATGATTATGACAACACGGTGCGATCAAACCTCACCTTCGAGCGAATTATTCAGCGGCATTCAAGCTCAGGCCCATCCCTGAACTTCTTGACGCAAACGATCCCTCTTTAAAGATCCATATATTCGAAGTACTATCCAGTACTAAGCCCCAAAAATATTGAAGGCTGGATGAGGATGGATGAGGCTAAGAAGGGAATAAACAGAAGCTACAGTGAATACCTCCAACCCGTATTGAATTCCGTTCGGATAACTTCCAAGAATGTAACGGGCAAAGTCCGACATGCGCCAGGTTAACAAAATCTGCATTCGGAAACCATGTTAAAAAAAACTAGGGAAGTGTCACCAAGTCAACACAAGAGATAAACAACTACGAGCATGGGAGGCCCGCAAAGAGATTTCTGATGTAGTCACTAATGGTAGATACAAAAAGAGTGACATTACGAGGCAGACAAGGCCCTGAATGATACGCCTTGTCTACAACTAGCGGAAACCAGGGCAGTTAGGCACGGAAAAGCTGGAGGTCTTTCTACAGGTTATGCAGGGCTTTCTGCTGGTTAACGATTTTTTTGGTTTCGGCAAATGAGAAGGCTTCTATGTCTCTTTGTCTTATACCTAAGCGTCCATATTATATAGATGCTAACCCACGCCAAGCGTCTAAAATTTGGAAAGAGTACACTTCAACTAAAAGAGCTCCACTTATTGTTTCCCCTTCCATGCGTAAGCAGTGCAGTTTAAAATAGAGGTGCTCGGAAACTGGTAGTTGACTACTGCATGCATAGAGATAAATATCTTTACCTTACAAGAAAACCAATACCAGAATTGCTTAACTAGCAGGATTATAATGTTACGTACATTTGCTCTGTAGAGTAGCAGAGTCTGTACCACCTCCCAGTGCCCATAGCGACAAGCCTCCATTAGCGCAGTCTGCAAATTCACACCGAAAATAACGTGAAAGAGTAAATCCAACTACATTATTCCGACGGGATCATACAAACAATAACGCCGCAAAGACCAAAACAATTCTGAACGTATGAATGATTATCAGTTAGTAAGCATTTCATCTGCCTTAATCTGAAATCATTATGAAGAACAACTGGATACCTGTCCACAATAATTCTGCGTGTTAACTTCCACTCCGCATTCGAGAAGTAATGTCAAGACCTGAATAGCAGGTTCATAAGCTAGATGTAAATAATTTGAAAAAATGTTCAGAGAGACAGGCTATGATAAGCTAACCAAGGTCAAAAGTGTCATTCCCTCAAAATCCTAATTCACTGACGATCCCATTCATCCCAGCAGAATACTCACAAATCGTAGACCTTAGAAGCTCATTCTGACCCACAAACGGTAACCGATAAATGGCTAATAGAGAACTAAATCAAGAGTAGCTGAATCGACTGTGTATGAAATCCAATTTAGCCACCGACTAAGACAAAGACATCTGGACAAATAAGCTAGAGAAGCTTTTGCAAATCCACAAATAAATAAACAATTAGATTAAATCCAAAAAATTAAAACAAAAATACAAGCTTTCTTGTCGTTGATACAAGGGACATGAACAGAAAAAGAAAGCACATCAAAAAAAATTAAAACAAATTCGCATGACCGCGTCAGTGGAAAACCAAACGCATCTAAACTCCAAAACAAACGAGTGAGAATAATAAATTTGTAGGAAGGCAAGAGGAATCACCAACCTCATTGTGCCCTTGCATTGCTGAGAAATGCAACGGCGAGTTACGCATTCCGAAGGTAGAATATTTTACGAGACTCGGATTACAGTCTAATAGGGCCTGAGCTGCCTGCCAATCTCCATCAGATGCCGCTGTTACCAATCGCTCCCCTGAAGCCGAGCAACCAAACGTATTACCCATACTGTCACCGCTTATTTTCGATCTCCTGACGTAACCATTGCTCCTCGACCTGATCAGCGCAATTCGTCCTTCGAGAGAGAATCATGACACCTTTCCAGATTCGGCTGTCACATCTGAGCCATAACGCGAAAAGAAGAAAATTATCAAGACATCGCTGTAAACGACCGTCGTGAATTCCACGCACAAAATCGCCATAGACGCTTCACTGCTCACAAACCATCTGCCTCTCTTACAAAGTACTCAAAAAAAGCCTTTCATCTCGCTCTCAGCGTCTTCGATTTCGATCTCAAGCCTCAATGCACCAGCCAATGGAACATGGAACTCATAGCCAAACAAGAAATACACGAACGGTTTCAAAAAACGCACAAACCATCGGGCCGCAATGCTTCATTTCATCGATGAAAGTGCACCGACAACGAAGATGCAGTATTACTTCAGACATCGATGTCCACTGGACATGAGCACGTCGCTGACTGTCTCGACAACCACCACCAAGGACCAATTCTACACGGAAAAGAAACGGGAAATAAAATCACTTCCAAGTGATGCGCAGCAGACAGGGCCACTCTACGCTATACACACAACCCCACGCCAGAGCACGCATTCCCACGCATTCCCCACGCCTTCACACTCTCAAAAATTGGCCGCCCTGCTCGATAAAGTCCACAACAACACCTCAGCACCTCTCTAATACAAATCTCCGCAACATACCGCCGACGTTTCACCACTACAATGCAAATCGGATTCGCCGAATCCACCGAGCACAAACTCAAACACCTCGCAATTAAGACGAATCTCACCTCTCTCCAACCTCAATTCTGAAGAAGACGAGGCAGAAGAAGAAGAAGAAGCAGAGCAAGTAGAAGAAGCTCATTCATCCTCGTTAGATTAAACAACTTATAACCTGAATAAACTTGCACACAATGGAACAAACCTAGTGGAAAACAACGAGGAGCTCATTGTAAGAAAAGCAAAAACGCAATCGCCATGGCAGCTGAGGATTCAGGCCACGGTCTTAGGTACTTCGCAGGAGAAAGAAGAAGAGGAATCGGAACCGTTGCTCATTCTTCAAACGTCGAGCTATTACTGCAGCACCCAAAACCGAGCCTATCAAGGGACAGTTAGCTACCGCCCTCGTAGGTTCAACTCTCTTTGGCGGTGTCCATGTACCGTGTTCCTGCATGGAGGGCCGATACTGAGGCCCTTCTGATACCTAGGACTGTTAGTCGCAGGGTGTCAACTACTGGACAGTTGGGCGAAAAAGACAAAAAGAAAAACGTTTCTCATCCACGTTCATCTGGAGTTGGTCTTGGATGAATGAGGATTGGTTGGTGCAGATCATTTATTTATTAGAGTTATTTATTGGAGGTATTTGGTATGTTGAGATTTATTTTTATTGCTTCATCATTTGATGCGTATAGATTCTTAATTTACCAATTGAGTTTGAATAATTAAAATTTCACTTTGATGCTTGGATTTTTACTCTTTCGAAGACAGATCTATCTATCTCTATATATATATAGACAGAGAGAGAGAGAGAGAGAGAAATGATAAAGCCACCCAAATATTACTAAATCGACCTACTTGCTTCATTCCTAGCCATTGTCCCAATCCTAGCCATTCCCCCATTCCCAACCATTGTCCTTGTTCCCAATCCCCCACCCCCATCCCTAGCAATGGTTGGGAATGTAAAATAGCTAGGAATAGAAATGGAGGGTTCCAAGGATGCAATGATGCTTAAAATAGAGTGCATTGCTTTAGTAAAAATTTGGGTTGCTTATCATTTCTCTCTCTATATATATATATATGTATATATGTGTATATGGAATTAAAAATAAAAACATAAATAGCCACAACAAAATAGTTACATAGACATCATCAACATAACATTTTAAAATTTTGAATATTTCAAAATAATGTATATCTCATGAACAAATTTTTGTTGTTGTGTTTGTATGTTTAATGAGAATGTATCATGTATCAAAGTAGTAATATCCTTGGTATGTAATTGAATGGCATCTACAATATGTTGCCATGATGCTATCAAAAAAATAATTTTCTGATTAGAAACCAAATATGTTATGTCTCTTTGTTTCTACAAGGGGCCAAGCTTTTCTTGATCTTTATTCAATAAAAATAGTATAACTTAACTTTCTATCACTCTCTTTATATTATTGTTAAGGTCTTTTTCTAAAGATTCTTTGTGCATATCATTCCTTGAAACAACAATGTGATATGCCACAATTTATATGCCAATAGAATATGTATATTTTATGTCATATTTTCCATTCTTATTTGATGCACTTCAATGAAATGGTGTTGTAGTAAAAAATGAGGGCATTGCTACTTTAACACATCTATTATGTAAAACAACTTGGGTACAAGACAAAGAAGCCTTCTCATTGGTTGAACATGAGAACAAAAAAGCATTAATAAACAAAAAAATTAATGGATGGCAGTGCCTAAATGCACCAATTTTTTGCTAGTGAAATTGTGAGAAAGCATTGATATATGATATTTAAGAAGCATGAACACCTTCATAATTTTCTTCATTTTCTCTAAAAATACATATGTTTTCTCCCTACATATACACACAGTTTATTACAAAAACAACTAACATAGAATATAAAAGTAGGGGAATGTTAAATAGACCAAGGCTTTTACCAATTTGACCTACCCGTTATGAAAAAATAAAATGACTTCTAGATTCATTTTTCCCATGGTAGATCCAAAACCAATGAAATCCAACCACATTATTTACTATATTCTTCATTATGGATAGGCCAATTTAATAAAAACTTGGGTCTATTTAATATTCCCCTAAAAGTATAGAATAAATATTTTTAAAGAGAAAATGAAAAAAGGCTATTGTAATGTTATTTCCTAAAATTTACAAAAAATATACTCAAAAATAATAATCTCAACTCAGATATAAAAACAATGATTTGACAGACAAAGGTTTGGCACATGCGCGGCGATGGACTCCGCTTCCTTCACCCGTGCCTTGTGGAGCCCCTCCGGTACCCGCGCTTCCAGTTGTTTATTCCGCAGTCAACCCCAATCATCGCACAGTTTAGGGCGGACACGATCGATCGGTGGACATGAACGAGTCCCCTCCCCCGAACAAACTGGCGGTGTGAGCGAGTTCACGGGAAGGCAATGTCACCTCTTAGGAAGTTTCTATGCTGTTCGCATGAATGAGGGAACCCTATTCCCACCGCAACTTTGCCACGGAATCAAAGTGGAAAGAGGCTTAAACCCTAACATTCCGATGCGCTCGCTTTAGTCCCGACGTCTAAACCTTGACCCCGGTATGTTGGTTGGGACTCCGCGTCGGTTGATGTTTGCAAATTGCGGTTTGCCAATCGTCTCGGCCAACTCTTTGTTCTGGCAATTGCGTGGTTTTAGTGTAGGAAGGTTTTGACGCCTTGCGGTGTTTCAATTCCGTTTTGCTCTGTAATTTGTGTGTGTTGTGTTTTTTCTTTTGCCACTCTTTTTTGTAGTGTTCCTGAGACGAGGAGTTTTTGAGTCGGCGGTTTAGGGGAGCCGATTTTGAGGAGAGAACGGGGCTCGCGAAAATGAATCGTGCATGGTAGCAATCGGTGTGTTGGAACCGATTTCGGCGGTTGGTAGGACTGGGAGGAGGATCTCAGATGTTAAACTGGTTGGATTGCGCTCGCATCAGGATTGTGCACCAACATTTAACCTAGGCGGTCGTGTGAGAGGCGGAATGTGGAGGGCGGCAGTAAGGCAGTTATCGAGACAGCCGCGGGAGGGGTTGCGGGGCGCGGGCAATTGTTCTTCGCTGTTTTGGTCGCAGTCGTTGCAATCCCGATGGACGTCTGGCTCGGCGGCGGCTGCTGTTGGTCAGGTTCATGTCAGGGCGGTTGACAAGGACGTGAATGTTGATGCTCGATGGCCCTTGAGAGACACTAAAGTTGGATTCTCCAGATCGTCGTCTGATTCTGTGCCATCGAGTATAGATCAGACGCTGGATGCAGCTCTGCACAATGTCGTGAATCTCCCTTGGCTATTCTTGCAGGGTGTACCTGCCCAGGATGTTGGAAACTTTCATGCTAGACCTGGAGAGAGGCCAGCGCTAGATTACTGTCGTACTTATGCAAGTGCGGCGGAAGCAGTAATTGATGATGATGATGAAAGTGAAGAAGAGTGTGCTCCTGAGGAACCTCCTCAATCTGTAGACTTCAACAAGGCAAAGACAGCGAAGGAACGTGCTGCGGAGAGCAGAAAGGCCAGGTGGAAGGAGAAGGCATTGCGTATGCGTCAGTTTAAAATTGAGACTGAGGCATGGCATCAAGCAGCGGCAGAGTACAAGGAGCTAGTTGCAGAAATGTGCAAGAAAAATTTAGCTCCGAACTTGCCAGCCACTCGATCGTTACTCCTTGGCTGGTTTGAGCCCTTGAGGTATTTAGCTGAAATTATTTGTTGAGTTTTCGCTTTAGGTTCCATCCCTTGGCAAATGATGCATTTGCAGAATGGAAAGACTTCGTCGGAGTGTAGAGCGCGACCTTTTTAGAACGATTTTAGTATGAGCTGCGGTGATACCAAAAAAATATATGGTTGCGATCTCAGTTTGTACAGTTTCTGCAGTTTGAATTTTTCGGTTTGACATTTTTACTTAGCTAGTGCAAGTGCTATGCAGTGCCATAATATTTTTCCTCTGAATTGCAGAGATGCTATTGCACAAGAGCAGAAGGATTACGAAGAGCGCAATTTCAGAGAACACCGTGCCATTTATGGCCCGTTTTTGGCTAAGCTTCCAGCTGATATGCTAGCTGTTATCACTATGCATCGCCTGATGAGTCTCCTTATGAGTGATCAGGAGCATGGATGTGTTAAAGTAGTTCATGCAGCTCTGCAAATCGGAGAAGCTGTGGAGCAAGAGGTTCTATGCTAAATCCTTTTTGAGTCCGTTGCGTGCTGTTTAGATTTTACGAATTTCTCTAATTGAATTATCGAGGAACATCAGAGTTGCTGACGGGTGATATTCTTAGGATCAATGGTTTGATGTTTTAGTTACTCTTTTGTGCCAATTATTCTCATAGCTGAAAGCCGATAGAGTTCTGAGTGTACAAGGTTCTTTTCTTGACAGGTCGGTATTTACAAACTTCTACGTTCCAAGAGGAAGGTGGCGAAGAAGGTGAAAAATAAAGTTAGTGGAGATGCTCTTGATGATCTGGACACTAACACGGATGACTCGATAGCGAATTCTGTTCTTGATTCTGATCTCAAACTGAAGTTGGCCAAAGAGAAAGTGAAGAAGTTAGTGAAACAACAGAAATTGCGATTGGTTGGTAAGGTAGTGCAGCAAGCCAATGGCGACGAGCCCTGGGGACCTGCTATACAAGTCAAGGTATATGATTAGGATGTCTTTCTTTTCTTCTTCTTTCTTTCTTTCTTTCTTTCTTTCTCTCTCTCTCTCTCTCTCTCTCTTGTTGTGTCAGGTGATTCTGAAGTCAGTTCTTTCCTTGCAGGTTGGAAGTAGACTACTTGAACTCATGCTAGAGACTTCTGTTATGCGTTCACCTGCGGACCAAAATGCTCAGGATATGACAGAACTGCGTCCAGCGTTTAAGCATACGCTGAGAAATTATCCTATCAAAAACAAAAACAAGTAAGTTACATGCTTGCACATTTTTTCTAGGTCTCATTTGTTAGTGCTACCAATGATTCATTTGCCCTTTGATTTTGAATTTGAAGCTTCTATTCTTTGGGGGTCTTCAAAATTTGGTAATTATGGTATATGTTGTCCTTTTCTGTATCATGTGCAGTATGAATCGAATATACGGTGTTATTGAGTGCGACCCTGCTGTCATGAGTGCATTAGATAAGTCTGTAAGTTACCTTTTCATCATGCCTTTCTAAACTTGAGGTCATGTATGCGGTCTTTCTTCCCAAGTTTTTGATCCTGAATCATGTTGAAGGCTATGATTCTTGATCTTGACAGGGATCTGACAATTATGTGTTTAGAATACTAACCTTGCGTGTTTAAGACAGATCATTGCCCTTCTCGATTTTTGCTATGGGACTTACTTTTTGGAAGTTTAAGGGTCCACCGCACACTGGTTTTGATTTCAGGTGCAACACATGGTCATGCCTTACATGCCAATGCTGGTGAAGCCGCGTGCATGGACCGGGTACGTACTTAATACCCTGTGGCGATTTTCCTCTTGACTGGTTATAAGTCTCAGAGATAGATTTTTTGTCTTTTTTTGTTAATTGATTTTTCTCCTAAAAATACATTTTTAGTCGTTCTTCTTTTTCTCCGTGCCTTTATTTAGAATATTATGGTGGCTTTTCAGTGTATGAATGTGCAAGTGGGGTGAGTTTATGTAGTTTGTCACCGAATCTTTCATTGGAGTATGCTCGAATCTTAGAATTGTCATTACACTACAGGTTTTATGATGGTGGGTATTTGCATCTGAAGTCAACTATTATGCGGACACATGGGGCGAAGGAGCTACGTGATACTATCATATCTACTCTTCGGCAAGATATGATTAAAATTGTACAGGTGTGTTTGAAGACTTTCATTTGTGTTAATTATCCTGCCTTCATTTATTTGTATTATCAGTTTCCTTGCCTTGTCGTTAAACAATTCCTATCCTGGGTTCGCTACTGAGGTTAATTTGGTGTGGAAATCTCAAATAATCGTGGGTCATTTTCAGGCTCTGGATGCACTGGGCTCAACTCAATGGAAGATCAATAATGTCGTACTGGATGTGTTAGAGCAAATGTGGAAAGATGGTGGACGTTTGGCAGATCTTGTGGATGCAGAAGATGTAAGATTACAATATCTTTTCTCCTCGAGAAACTATTTTGTTGTTTTTACGATGATGTTGGCTTTGCTGAAGCGAGTTCTATTGTGTTCCGAAAGCCTGATCGTTCCAAATGATCAGACGTATGGGTCAAATTTAGAAACCTACCCACTATCTTCTTTTCTAGCTTGTAACATTTAAGCGAGCGGATTTTTTAGTTGTTATGTACATTTCGGCCATCTCGTTTTAACGGTCGACGTATGGTCTATTATGCTTTCAGGTTCCACTTCCAGATAAACCTGAATCAGATGATTTTGAGGAGATACGTAACTGGAGGCGACATACTGCCTCAGCAAAGCGCACGAATAGTGAACGGCACTCCGTGCGTTGTGACACTGAACTAAAGCTAGCGGTACACCACTGAATAACTTCGTCAATCTCTCCTTAAATATAAATTCCTGTCTTAGCTAGCATGGTGTGTACGCTTCTCTTAAAACTGTCTTACGTTAAGAGCGGAGTCCTGTATACTTCTTCGGGAAAGTAGACCGTCTTCTTGAAATTGATGTTATTCTTATTTTTAACTTTCAGTTTGAAAAAAATTCTATACAGGCTGCTCGTAAGTTACGAGATGAGGAAGGTTTCTTTTACCCACATAACTTAGATTTTCGGGGCAGAGCCTACCCGATTCATCCGCATCTGAACCATTTGGGATCAGACATGTGCCGAGGTATCCTGCAGTTTGCAGAAGGTCGAGCACTGGGGCCGACAGGTTTGCGATGGCTCAAGATTCATCTTGCAAATTTGTATGGTGGAAAAGTAGGAAAGATGTCATTTGATGCGCGAGTTGCTTGGGTGGACGAAGTGATGGAGAAAGTGTTTGACTCTGCGGATAGACCTTTGGATGGAAGTCGATGGTGGCTAGATGCTGAAGATCCTTTTCAGTTTTTGGCAACTTGTCTGGATATTCGAAATGCCATCAAGTCTGGAAACCCAGAAACTTATGTCTCGCATTTGCCTGTGCATCAGGTGTGTTATTGTTGCAGATTTCGTTGTCTCCTTTGTCCTGGATGTTCCCTTTAGGCAAATTATATTTGAGTAGTGCCCACAAAATATTCTGAAAGAAAATTGGGATGTGAATTCTGTATATATTTCCAGGATGTGTTTTATTTCTGAGGCTGATAATGCTTGCTTGCTGCACATGCAATTCAGGACGGCTCTTGCAATGGCTTACAACATTATGCTGCACTAGGACGTGATAGGGTGAGTATCTTACTATTCATATTCAATTGGCTTTTAAGTATTTGTCTGTTGTTTTTTTTCTTTCTTTCTTTCTAATGGACCATTTTCTGCCTGATTTTATATTTGGGAACACGATGATTCTGAAGTACTGTTTTCTTTTTGTTGTCTGTGATCCCGTGCGCTGAGCAGATTGGAGCAGAATCTGTAAATTTGGTTGCTGGGGATAAGCCAGCAGATGTTTATTCAGGCATTGCAGCCAGGTATTTTGGTGTCAATGTACTTCACTTTAGTGTATTTCTTGTATTGTCATCGTTCTCTAATCGTCACAACTCATTCAAGTTTCAACTTAAGTTCAGTGCTCATGGTTGATTTGAAGCGAACCTCTCAGTGATCAATGTCTACTTGCATTTATCTTGCACGAGGTTAGAAATTCTTAAATGTTAAAGGGAATGGTTTGTTTTGAAACTTGAGAGCTCTTGTTGTCTAACAGGGTTCGTGAGATAATGGAAAGAGATGCCCAGAAAGATCCAAAAACAAGCCGCCATGCTGCTAATGCAAAGTTGCTACTCCCTGAAGTATGAACCGAACGACTACTCATTTTGTTGTTACTGCTATGCCAAGTGTTAAAAGTAATATTTAGGCTCTTTTTTCTGGACATACTGCAGGTTTTTTGTGGTACTGATCTTTGCATATTCTATGTGTAGATTGATAGAAAGCTTGTCAAGCAGACAGTGATGACATCAGTGTATGGAGTTACTTTTGTTGGCGCCCGCATGCAAATATTTAATAGATTGAAGGAGCGTGGAACCATCCAAGAGCAGACAGAGATGTACAGGGCTGCCTGTTATGCTGCCAAGGTAGTACATGTTCTATGTCGGGAACTCAAGTTTGAAAACCCACCATTTACTGTTTTTCTTTAGTTTCTGGAGTACCACAGATGAAGTGGACTAATGTTTCCATGATTAGTGGCGACTCTTCAAGGGTTGATTTGAAATTCCAAGTTTTTCAATCGATTAGAGGTTGATGTAAGTCAGAAACTAAACCCGCCTTCATAAATCACGTGGTCTCAGACAACGTTAAACGCATTGGGAGAGATGTTCAAAGAAGCTCGTTGCATTATGAGCTGGCTTGGAGACTGTGCGAAGGTGAGATCTAATTGTTCAAGATCAAAAGATGATCAGATTTTGTGCAAGGAATGGTGTCCTCTTGGACTTAAAAGAATTGTAAATTTCTCTCAGGTTTAATCATGCATTGCAAGCTTAACGTACTATTTTCAAGTGATTTCACTGCTAGATTTCTCTCAGATTTCATTCAGTCTAAAGGAATTGAGTGAATCGATTGGATGTTTTTGAGCAGATCATTGCCTCAAATGGAGAAACTGTGAAGTGGACTACTCCTCTTGGACTTCCCGTTGTGCAACCTTACCGCAAGCCTGGCAGACATTTGGTATGGGCAGGAAATATCTTCATTGTCTCCTTTAGTTTTGATGTCTACAACATTGCACGGTTCTTGGTGCATCCATACAGCATGTACTTGACCGTATATGCAGGAAAGCAGCAGTTATCAGTCTGCCTACTGTACTACATCTTTATTTAAGGTGGTCACACATCATCATCTTACTGAATGTCTTGGATTTGTGCTTGGTGCAGGTCAAGACTTCTTTGCAAGTCCTTGCCCTTCGTAATTTGGACGCTGATCAACCTGTTTTAGTGCAGCGGCAAAAAAGTGCTTTTCCACCAAATTTTGTACATTCTCTTGATAGTACTCACATGATGATGACTGCCTTGGCTTGTCAAGAGGCAGGTCTTACTTTTGCAGGTACATAATTATGTATACATAGCTTGATGTGCATTCTATTATTCTGCATTCGATATGCAGTAGGTGCTTATGGATTTATTTTCTTCATGAACATCCTCGTAAATTCTTTTCTTATTACAGCTTTTCTCCGTTCACAAGCTTACATGTTTTTGTTGTTTGTAACTGCAGGTGTGCATGATTCATACTGGACACATGCAGGTGACGTAGAGCAAATGAACAGCCTGCTCCGTGAGAAGTTTGTTGAACTCTACAGTCAACCAGTTTTGGAAAATGTAAGTCAAGAATGCTTGTGTGATTCCATGTTGCGATTTGAAGGCAAATTGTAAAACCGTTTCAGCGCACTTCGGTCTACTAAAGATGTTGAGTCGAAATCTCATTTTATTGAACTAAATATTTTACAAATCTGACGAGACGATCGTTCAATGTGTATGCAGCTTTTAAAAAGTTTTCAGGAGCGGTTCCCAACATTGGTTTTCCCCGAAGTTCCTGCTAGAGGTGATCTAGATCTAAAGGAGGTTCTGCGTGCACCTTATTTCTTTAATTAGCCTAGGTGAATCGTATAGCTTCTTTCTAGACTTTTAGTTTTTACCTTCATGCAGAAGCAGTTCCGAGTATTTGGTGGCATCCATCTTTTTGGAGAGAACCCAAGTAACTGCTGCTGGTACATCTTTGAGGCCACGACAAGAAACAACATTCTCGTGCACTTTTCATCGTCAATATGCCTTAACTGGGAGTCTCGACAGCGCTGCGTGGTAAAAATAGTCTTCTGTGTGGCCGCCTCATTTATCAAACAACGACGATACTTCTTGGCTGGGAGTGTTTGGAATACATTATAGTTGGTACCTTCCACAAGCTACATGATTATACGAGGTACCACTGCGCCAGATTGGTGGAGGTATCACTGCTATAAGTGGGAAGAAGCCACAATGAGTTGCAATTGAACTTCTGGGGGTCGGTAAACTTTTGTGTACTCTGGAGAGTTTTTAGACTCTTAAAAAGTAACAGAAGATTCTTTCAAATAGCAGGACTGGTGGAGCAGCGATCTACGGATCAGAATCAGGGACCCTGACTCGGAATTAGTTTTCTTAGATTTCAGAGACTCAAAGATTAATTAGCACAAGATCATTTCGAATGTACAACATCAGAACTTCCCAAACCTCCTTGCACAGAATTGGCGTGCAATTGGTGTCAATACCCTGTTGTTTCCAGTTTGTTTTGATACTAAGAATCCTTCATGGTTACTGAGCATGTGTACTCGATACATGTCTACGATTAAGTATTCGAAGAGGTTCATCTGCAGCTTGTCACATGTTGACTGCAATACCGCGATGCCAGATCCTGCAGTTTAGCATGGCTCTCTTCCATGCTCGTGGAAATGATCCATTATTCTTGCCATTTGAATGAGTAGTTAGTGTGTAAAATTCTTCTCTGCTTGGTGGTTGCTTAACTTATATATTCATGTACAAATTGGATAAGTTCCCATCCTAGTTTTGCCAAGTATTGCAGTAATAAAGCTCCAACATACCAACAATGCACTTTGGAATCAAAATGGAGATTCAGTGACGATCTGTTAAATAATATTTGTGATACAAATTAGTTATATATATATATATATATATATATAACCATAGCTAACATGTTCACAAAACTGAAGCAAAACTTGAATTCTTTTCAAAGCGTTTGTATGATAATACATTGTTACATGTATAAATGCATTACAAGCTAGAACCTTAGTTTCACATAATAATAATTATAATAGTCTCTACACATTTATGATATTTTATGAATGTAAAATATTATATAAATATCAGGGAGAACATTTTTTAAAAATTATTAACAGATTCTTTAGTGATTCAACTTCATGAAGAAGAAAAAATGTTACATGAAATTATTCAAGATGACATAAATTCATTGTTAGTAAATGAGAAATAAAATATCAATTTAATGAAAAGAAAAGTCAAGAAAAAATAAAAACCAGAGAATTTAAAGATACCGAAATTGGCAATAACAGTGGGTGTAAAATTTATTTTTTAAAAAGTCAAAATAAATAGATTACAGTTAATTTACACAAATGTCTTGAAAATTAGAGTCTGTTTATTGAGTGTCCTCTAAAGTTTACAGTGAAAAATCTAGAGACTCAGAAGACATTGTATTTGTTGCACAGAAGAAAATATTATAATTTATTGCTTTATAATTTGTAACATTAAATTTAATTCATAATCCAAGAACTAGTCAAAAATCAATTTGATTAAATTAATGAAAATTTTAAGTTGTCAAATTAACAATAGAAACTATTTAAAAATCGGTTTTAGCATTAAAGAGAAAATTTGATTCTCATACTTTTATAAAAATTCACATACACTGAATACTACAAATTAATAATTATTTTACTGGAAATAGACGTAAAGTGGTTCTAACTGAAAGTAATACCTTACAAAATTTATTCAATGATTTATTTTATTTCATTTTCATACAAACTAAAAGTATGCATTTTCCTTAACTTTAAACATCAACATCCATCATTCAATACACTTTCATAGAATAACTGCAATCAAATTGGCCTTATAATTGTAAAGAATATTTTATGTTAAATCAATAATTATTTGTCGTTAATTTGAAATACTTTTCCAGTGCATATGAACTCTTGCGAATTCAATAATGAAAGATATTTCTAAATAACAAATTGAAGTTTGAAAATCACCAAATTATAACATTTCAACAACATAGACAAAAATTAATTAATAAAATTATTTACAACTAACTCCATGTCCAGTAATTATGATCTTGTATCAAGTTTATTTTGAACACTTTAATAGGTTCAATGAAACACATATAAGATCATACTGAAACAGAGAAAGACGCCTTAATCCTAAATTATATCAGATACAAAAGCATGTTTAAAACAACAACAACAAAATGTTTAGTTATAGGCTTTGAAATTCAATTATTATACTTAGTTAATGTTAACAATTATACACAAATATTTTGAATTGCATCCATATCTTTTTCACTAATCAAGTGTAACCATTTTCATGATTTTGTTTTTGTTTTTTTTAACATTTCTTATAATTTTTCTTATATAAGTATTTTCCATAATTTTTCGATCTTTCTTTGATATCACGTTCTTAACATCTTAACAATGGGTGAAATTGATACAACCATTCCTTTTGCCTCCGTTCGTGATGCGGTTTATATGTTTGATGAACCTTGTTCCATAAACACACACCGTGTGTTTCCCACAACCAATGATTTACACCAAAAGGTTTAGGATTGTTTCCATTTATATTGTATTTGAAACATAATGCTTATTGTTTTATTACATAATTGATTATGCAGTAGTTTCTGTAGATTAAAAACAAAATACTGAGAGGGAGTTTTACTCTGTAATCTATAAATTTAATTAAAAAATATTATTGCATCTCAAGTATAGAATTTTGCATAATATTTGTGTTTTTCAAAACATTGTTTTGTGTTTCAATAGAAAATTGAATGTTTGCAAGGAGAATTGCATGAACTACGTGGAGAATTTACAAATACGCAAATGCAACTTTTAATTGAACAAAACAAGACAAAAGAAGCTTTTCAAGAATTGTTCAAAATCAAAACTAATTTTGAAGAAAAGAACATGGAAAATGAAAACATGATTGTTTCAAAGTTATGTACATTGGATGATCAATTAGAGTTAGGGTGTGAAAAAAAAGCTCGAAATGGACATAAAGTAGAAGAAAACCATACTACATTATACAATGAACTAGAAGATTTGGAGGATCATTATAAAAGCATATCAAGTGGTCGTCAAAATGATCAAGAAACAAAGGATGAGGTACAAAAAGACATTGTCTTTGAAGAAAATATTCAAACCAATAATATTGAAATGAATTGCAAAGAGAAGTATTGCATTCATGGTGTGCAAAATTTGGAAAATTTTGATGGAGATTTATTTGAAATTAATGAAACACCCAATAACAAATATGTTAAGATTGAAGAAAACTCAGAAACCTTGAAAGAGGGTTTGGAATTGAGAAAGGTAATAGACGAAGTTCAAAATGCACATGTGCAAATTGAGAGCTTAAAAGCAGAATTGCAAGATGCAAGGCATAAACATGTGGACATTAATTCTTATTTGGAAAAATTGGAAAATGAACTAAAAGCTGCAAAAGAAATGGAAAAAATAGCTTTATTAAAAGAAATGGAGACAAAAACTGCTTTTGAGAAATTGAGAACTGAAGCTGAAAATTTCAAAATTGAAAATGAAAAAGTGGGTAATATCATCATGTTTAATTTCATTATTATTGTCATTTTATAAAGAGATCAAATAAAAGAAATGTATTATAAATTTATTAGTTTTATTTTGAATATCGTAATTTGCAATCACATTCATGAAGTTGATTAATTCAAATATTAATCATAAATGTGAATCATGAATTTGAGAAATAATTAGTATTATTGAAGGCTAAAAGCATGGTTGATAAAATTTCAGGATATGGATACAATATCAAAAATAGCTTCACAAAGAGAAAAAGAATTGTTAGCATCTTTAGCATCACTTCAAAGCGAACTTGAAAATAAAACCTACGAACTTGTTGACTTGAAAGAAAAAGCTGCAATATCATCCAATAAAATAGAAAAAGAATCCAATCAGCTTTTAGATAACTTAAATGCTGCTAATCTGAAAGGCACAAATACAAAAGAATGTTTAATTAAGTTACATGAAGTGTTGCAACAAGTAAGAAAATCATAAATCAATTTAAAATTAAAACATTCTACATTCAAAATAGATATAAATATAAGTGAAAGGGAATTTGAAAGTAAAATATAATAGTGATTTGATTTAAAGCAAATTAATCAGGTGAGTAAAGAAGCTTTTGAAGCCAAAAATGCTGCAACCAAAGCCTTCGAAACAATGGCTTTAAGAACTCAAGATTTGGAAGAATCATTCTTTGATAAAAAAGTTGCAGAATTCCAATCAAAATCAGCCATTGATGAATCAAAAGTTGGCATGGTTTCCGAAATCCCTTCCCAAGAAAAGGTTCTGAATACATTTGTAATTGTTGTTTTTTGGGAGTAATTTAACATCTTATTAAGAAGCTATTGATAAAATTAAAAAATAAATAATTTTTTTAAAAAAATCATTTATATACATTTACCTTGCGACATTTTATTTCTTGAAACATTCATTTATTAATTTTATTTTATTTTGGTTAATTATACGGCAGTGATAACTTCTGAAAGATTTTTTTTTTATAAGATTTGATATTTTTATAATTCGATTAAAAGTTTTAAGAAGAAATTGTTAAAAAATAAATAAAATAAAAAAAACTTTCCAATCAAACAATAAAACATGTGATCTAAGATAAACCTTTATTCAAAGGTTATGCAAAAAGTTTCAAAAACAATAAAAAATGTCATTTTTAATTGCTGAATCATAGCAGCATGTTCTGTTTTCATTCGTACAAAACTAATCAAATGTCATTTTTATGTATATAAGGATTGGTATATATATATATATATATATATTTGTAAACCTTGTTAAACTGTAAAACAAGGTTGATTTTAATAACAATGTTTTAGTTAAATTCTACGTGGAACACATATTGTGGTAAAAGGATATTTAATATTTGAATAAATGTATTGTAATGAAACTCAAACATGGATATGGTTCAAAATATGTTCAGGTTTATGATTTGAAGGCATGTGTAATGGATAGCTCAACAAACTTGGATTCCATTAAAAATCTATTGAAATCCAACCAACCCACAATGAATGAAGTTGTTGAAGTTGTTGATAATGATCTTAAAAGATGGAATTCCAATTTTATAAAGAACCACGAATCAAGTTTAGTGGAGAGTAAACCACACCCAATTGATTTATTCATACATGAATCATTTACCAAACTAAACAAAGATATGCACGACAATGCTCTACATTCAAAAGAATCTTTAGAAAAAGTGTTTCAATATAATTTTTCAACAAATAATGTTTCGAAGAAAAGATTATATTTTGGAAAACTATTTTCCTATTTTGGTAGAAAACTGAAAAGATAGAGAATGCCTTTTTTTTAATTTTTTAATTTTTATTACAGGTAATTGTAATGTTTTAATTTTTTTTTATTCGAACTTTGGTTTAAATGAAAATTTTGAGTACATAAGATTCAGGATCGTACATACAAGTGTGTTGAGTGAGTGAAAAAAACTGGTATTGTTGTTGTATTTTTCTATTATATTTTAAAGTCATTCTTTTGAAGTGGTTGTTAAATTTTAATACATGGAGATAAATGTACACACATTATTCAACAAATTGTTGAAAATAAAACCAGGTATTGTAAATAAATTGAAGACATTTTATGAGATTGAGTTATTAATTTGATTTAATGAAAAAAATATTTACAAAAAAATTAATCATTTAAAAAAACATTTTTAATTAGTACTTTCAATATGGCTATCATCAATGTTATAAATAGTTTAACACTTAGCCATTGATCAATAAAATAGTCTTATAAATCTTAATTTTACTAAGTCTGATAAAGTGATTTATGTTCATTTCTGTTACATTACATTACATTAAAAGGTTTTTTTTTTTTTTTTTTTTACACAGATGTAAAATTCATGCATACACTGTAAGTTGTGAAATTATTGAATGTTTTGTGTGTTCTAGAATAATTGTTACTATCATATAATTTAACTTATCATATAAAATTTTATGATAAATTAAATTCTACCAACAAAAAATATTTTAGTATCAGTTTCTAATCAAACTAGGATCATAATGGGTATGTCATGTAAATTATATTTCAAATTATGATCATGAAAATATACTACAAAATATGTAGAATATTTCTTTATTTATTAAATATATTAAAACTATATGAAGTCACAAAAATACCTTTTAATTTAAGAGAAAACATCATATATACTCTTGAAATATGTTGAAATATCAAGAATATTCATATATTCTTGATATTTGCAAATCTATCTCTAACTTTTGTGATAATTCCAAATTTATCCTTGAACTTGAAAAGGTATAACCACATTCCTATTTTAGATGAATCTAAGGTCTAAACCACATATTACATAGATTTTGACATAACTTTTTTTGATTTTGGCAGCGGCTTCAAACTCTTGTATGGTCTTGGCTTCATGCCCTACATTGCATTGATTGATCTCAATATCAAGTATTCTACTACATTCAATGTGTTTACAAATGCTCCTATTGTTTTGCGCATCTACTCTGCTAAGTTGGTTCCTAACGCCTTATTTAAACTATGAGACACCAATATTATTTACATCAAATCTACTACTTAATCCATGTGCATTGCAAGCTTTTCAACTTTCCTTCGCAACCAACAAACTTTTGCTAGTACTTCCATCATTGTTGGAATGGCCTTCAAAGTTGAACTACAAGTCTAGTTTGGAGACTCCATAAAACTTAGATAATGAAAGGCAAAATTAATGTTTGGAATATGAAATTAGTTAGGAACCACAAAGTAGAATAGGCTCTTTGGAGCACAAATTGCCTCCATGCTTACTTCTAGTCCAAACTCAATCATGCTATTGTCATCCAATTGTGCATAGTGACTTGTGATATCCACATGTATCCTTGTTATCTACTTTATAGCTCTATACTACAACCTCTTGACTTGCATATCATGCTATTGGCTTGCATAAAATGCAATACTTATGTTTTGAAACCAACAATATTGATGAACTTTATGTTTTATTTGTTTCTCTCAACACTCTATCACTACACTACTTTGATTTGAAGTTGTAGATCAAAGTGGAAAGTTTGCAATAGTAGTAGCAGCAATGGCTGTATTTGATTTGTAGGGTGCCCAAATTGTACAAAAAAGTGTCACACCAAACTCTGCACAACATGTGGTTTGGACCCCAAATTCATCTAAAAGATGAATATGGATATATCTTATTAAGTTCAATGATAGATTTACAATTATTAATAATACAATGGTATTTTTAATATTTTAATATATATATATATATATATATATATATATATGATATTTTTTCTTGATTTAATGAAAAGTAATGACTATTGATTATATAAATGCATTTCAAAATTTTATGTTACATAAATTAGCATGTCATCAAAATATTAATATGTATGTATATAAATAAATACATAACATGATGAATATAAAACTTTTGAAATAAAATTAACTAATAGATTTTTTTAAAATAAAGAATATATATATATATATATATATATATATATATATATATATATTTGGAGATTAGTTCTTGGTACATTCAAACTTGAAAATAAAACTTATTGATACTATACATACATATCTATATATTTTATTTATGTATATATATATATATATATATATATATATACTTATGAATATTTAATTAGCTTCATAACTTTTTTTATATTCCAATAATAGGATTTTAATACCTCTAGAAAAATTTTAAAAAATCAAATAATAATAAATAAATATTAAATAGACCTATACTTTTATTAAATAGATTCATTATCAAGGATATGAATCTCAAAGAATTAAAAGATCAATACATTCTTATGTCACTCAAAAAGACTAGAAAATTACTCAAAGATAGTATAATATTAAACTAGAATGGCTATTGTGAAAGACAAAGAGACTAGAAAGTCTTGAAACAAGACTAAGAATTAGAAAGACATTAACAAGAGTGAAGAAGGTTTCACTTTTGCCTCCATATATACTATTTAATTTGGAGCTATGTAGCAATGTTCTACAAGACCTCCGACATGTATTCAACTTGCAAGACACGTGTCTAACTTGCAAAAAAAGTTTTCTATAAGTGCGCCATATAGTTACTTTGTTCTACAAGCTATTAACACATGCAACACATGGTTAACTTGTTGGCCCAGTTCTTAACCTACTAATCAACTACAAATACATTTAAAGTCAAATACGCATCTACAAAGCTTCTAAAAAGCTTTGTCACGAGATAATATCAAATCTACCTACATTTACCTTCTATCTAATACCTCTTATCTAAGAAAATATATATGTATGTGACATTTATCTTCAATAAAGAATATGGTAATCATGATGAATGTGGTTGGTTTTTATGTGTTATAGATCTAATAGTGGATAAATGAATCTAGAGGTGATTTATTTATTTATTTTCATTTCATGATAGTTAGGATGGGTGGATCAATTTATTAAAAGCTTGGATCTATTTAACATTCCCATAATAATAATAATAATAATAATACTACCCACACTCACTCATTCTTTTTTCCAATTTAATATTTTTAATTACATGTATATATATATATATATATATATATATGACTTAATATGTTTTTTTTATTAAATTGTTGGATCGGAACAATCCAAAGGGAAAAAAGCCCAAGAGAGAGAGAACAGTGTGGCGGGCACGGGCACGGGCAGATGGAAAAAGAGATAGAGAGGAACGGGCAGCTCGGGCAGCAGGGGAGGGAGACCCCGTGCATGCCACAGAAAAGGGCTCTCCAGGAGGTGAAGCCGTGGGGCGGGTGAGACCGTGCGATTAGGGGGCGGTTATAAGTCCAACCGACGGTCAGAGGACTACCAACTCAACTCTACTCCGCCCGTTGACACGTTACCGGTCCATTATCCCGGCCACAACTCTAACACACGCCATTGGCCGGAACAACGAATGCAATCTGGAGTGATGGGTCCCATATCACAATACCACGGAATGTCCTCCAAATGGATGAACAAAGAATCACATCAACGAACGCCCGCGGAGGATCATTCATCACCTTCCACTTAGCCGCCCCGCATCGGACGGCACACGACGCCCCTGATCCTAATCGGACGGTGGAATCGATCATCGAAGCAGCAGCCAACAGCACCGCGAAACTAATCCCAGGGCGAAGCGAGCGAGCGAGAAAGCATCGCAACGTTGTCAGATCTTCTTCTTCTTCGTTTCGTCGGATTGGTGTGCGAAGAAGAATCCCGGGTGGGGATTTCAGTACCCATGTGACGCGATTTCGCCGTTGATTTGTCGATCGATAGTTGTTGGCATTGTGGCCCTCTCGTGGCCGTAGTTTCTGGCCCCGCTACTCGTTCGCAGCCAGCCAGCCAGCCAGTCCCTTCAATCCTCGTGATTGTGCGTGTGTTGGGATTAAGGCGAGCTGGAGCATTGATTGTAGTTTTTAGTGTGCGAACTGGGTCGCTGGGGTCGGAGTCGTGAGCCGGAGTGGTAGTAGCCATGGCGACGATGCGAGCGAGCCAGGTTGTGGCGCCTAGTTCGTTCGGGGAAGCCGAATTGGTGAAGAAGGGCGTGCGCGTCGTCCCCAGGGCTTTGCGAATTGGCAGCTCGAGTGTTTGGAGGGGTACGACACGGGGTTTACACGCCGTGAAGAAGTCGACGGAGTGCAGCAAGCCTGCAGCTGCGAGTCCCGGCGCTCCCCGGGCCGACATGTCAGACCGCGAGATGCCCCCTAGCCACAGGATTAAAGCTGCTAGCATTTCGGCCTTCCAGGAGTTTCAGAATGCTCGAGCTAATCGTGAGTGTTTCCTGGTCGTCGCTGCGGGGATCCTAGCAATGATAGTCATGTGGGTATGGTGTTCAAGAGGGTCTAAGGATTGCTCGCATTTGTACATTGCCCACTAATAGCCGACTGCGTTTTGGAACAATGAGAGGATGAATGGAAATTCATGCGAGTCAATTCGGTGTGAGCTCAATTGGAACGATGTAGCTGAATCCCACGCATGGTGTTGTGTCTTGATGGTTTCCTGTAGCTGGGCGAGCATTTTGTTCCTTAACTGGTTGTTCGTCGCCGCCGTTCTGCAGGGTACACGCAAGTGAAGAGCAGTATTATGGTATTGGGATTAAGTATCCACACTACTCCTGTGGAGATGCGCGAGAAGCTTGCAATACCTGAAGCCGAATGGCCTCGCGCGATTGATGAGCTCTCTGGTCAGAACCATATCGAGGAAGCGGGTGTTCTCAGCACATGTAACCGGTTTGAAATCTACGTGGTCGCTGTGTCTTGGAACAGAGGAGTCAAGGAGGTCACTGAATGGATGTCGAAGGTGAACCCTTCTTCCCGTCCGGATTTTCTTTGCAATAATAATTCTACCACGCCTTTGAATGCATTTGAACGTTGACGGAACGGGAAAGACAACACACGTTTGGTTGATTTTCATCTCCATAATTAGTCAACCCCCCGCTCGGATGAATTCTCAGTTGAGACTGCGCGTACTGTTTTGTAATTCTAACGTTTTGCGTTGTGTCTGAGCTTTCCAGACAAGCGGAATCCCAGTTGAAAACTTGATGGAGCATTTGTTTGTTCTGCGGGATCAAGATGCTACTCAGCATTTATTCAGAGTCTCCTCAGGTCTTGACTCTTTGGTTCTTGGAGAAGGCCAGATTCTTGCCCAGGTGAGACAGAGATGGCACTGAAAATTCGCGGCTAATGAGAATAATGTGTCAGTTTTATTTTTTATTTTTTATTTTTTTTATTTTTTTTTGTTTTTTTTTTGTTTTGTTTTGCAACTCTAACTAATGTTGGTGATGGGTTACCTTCGTGTTGCGAAGCTCTCCTTGTCTACACAACCTGAATGGTCTTACACAGAATGAATTTAGAGTTCATACTTAAACCTTTACCTATGCACGAGAAGCAATTGACGCGTTGTTGTCCGGGTTCTTTGTATACTGTGCAGGTTAAGCAGGTTCTTAAGGTTGGGCAGGAGGTCTCCGGCTTCGGCCGCAACCTCACAGGTTTGTTCAAGCAGGCCATCACCGCGGGGAAGCGAGTAAGAACCGAAACTAACATCTCTGCTGGAGCTGTCTCTGTAAGCTCTGCAGCTGTGGAGTTGGCCGTCATGAAGCTCCCAGTTGGGGGTGTTTCCCGGGTGAATGTATTGATTGTGGGAGCTGGAAAGATGTCGAAGCTACTAGTGAAGCACTTGATCTCGAAAGGATGTACGCGAATGGTCATCGTGAATCGGTCAGAACAAAGAGTTCTCGATCTACAGACCGAGTTCCCCGATGCAAAAATCGTATACGAGCAACTCGGCGAAATGTTGCGGTGTGCTGGAGAAGCCGATCTTGTCTTCACGAGTACCTCATCAGAGGTTCCCCTATTCATGAAGGAGAATGTGGAACCCTTGGCCCCTGCATCGCAGGTAGCGCACGTCAACACTATCTCGATTCGCCACATTTGCTCAAATCCTCCAACATCCTGCGAAGAGAAAGCTCATTTGTCAGTGGGTTCCTCTTGTACTGTAAAGTAATCACAGTGATTTTCTCTTGTTCCAGGCTAGTGGAGGTGTGAGGCACTTCATCGACATTTCGGTGCCGAGAAACGTCGCAGCGTGCCTCTCCGACTTACCCTCCACGCGCGTGTACAACGTAGACGACTTGAAGGAAGTGGTGGCAGCCAACAAGGAGGACAGGCGGAGAAAAGCAGCAGACGCACAGGTGATCATCGACGACGAAATCCAAAACTTCGAGGCATGGAGGGACTCGTTAGAAACGGTGCCCACGATTAAGAAGCTACGGTCCTACGCGGAGCGAATCAGACAAACCGAGCTGGAGAAAGCCTTGAGCAAAATGCCGGAAGATTTGACGACAAAGCAGAGGCGGGCACTGGAGGATCTAAGCAGGGGCATCGTGAACAAGCTCTTGCATGGGCCGATGCAGCACCTGAGATCAGACGGCACGGACTCCAAAACCGTAAACGAAACCATCGAGAACATGCACGCGCTGGAGAGGATGTTCGATCTGGGCTCCGAGGTCCTGCTTGTGGAGGCAAAAGCCAAGGGGAAGAAATGAAAAAGTCCCACCCAGTTAGGGTCTCTCTCTCTTCCACAGTTTTGTACACTAGGCAAAAACAAACACTAAACCATCAATAACTGAGAACCCACTCGTCGACACATTCTTGTCGTCGAGTTCGCACATTTGTTGAGGTAGAATGAGTCCCGTTCCGAGACTCACTCTAGATTTCTCTTCCTTTAAGTAGCACTAGTATAGCAGCATGTCACATGTTCATACATTCCAATAGTAGACATGCTGTTGTCAAGCTTCGCTCTCCCACTTTCTCGCTCTCGCTCTCTCTTTCTTTCTGGCTCTTGGTTGCTAAGGCAACAACAACAACCACATCAATTACATACGTGTACCTTGGGGCACTCACTGCAGGGTTTTTCTCGGTGTCATTTTAATGCAAGTTTGTGCAGAATGAGCTCTCATACGTTTTGGCTGAGGTGGGTCGACTCTTGTGCAGTGATCCTGCGTAGCTATTCCTCCACTAAATCTATTGGTCGTGTGTTTATTTTCATGTCCAGGTTTTGAATGGACTCTCAGGCTGCATTCGAACAAACCTCACTGCCTCCAGTTTAATTGCCTTTTTTGCTGTTCGCTTTCATTTGTTGCCGCTTGGTACCCACGATGTCAATGCTTACATGCCACGGTTTCTTTGAGAGTTTTGTGTGGTCTTGTTTGTTAAAATCACTTTGAGACTATAGTTAAATATTTAAATTAGTATTTACGTTAAACTTGTTTTAAACAGGCTTAATTCTACAATGCATCTCTATAAACCGTTATCTTTTAAAACTATAGGTAAAAAATTCATAACATATTACTTTGCAACAGACAACTGAACTTGTTTGAAGGCAATATGGAAAAAGTGAAGGTTGTTGTACACAATTTCATGCATTTGTACAATTATTCAGTTTATTTTTAAAATAGGTATAAATATTCCTAAAGCATGAATTTAGAGAATATGAAAATTTAAACAATAAGAAAAAATGTTAATAAATGAAAAAGAACGTGTATGGCATGGCAAATATTTCAAAAATAATAGAAAATAACACTTTTGGAAATTCAGCCAATCAAATATTGCCTGGAATTGAGTCAATTAAAAAATTGGTTGAAAGTAATAGCCACTCTTTTATTAGTTGGAACACACCCAATTAAGAAATTTCAAGGACAAACACCAATGTTTTTTTTTTTTTTTTTTTTTTTTTTTTTGTGTGAAGTATATGTGTATGTATACACCTAACATATGACGATTTGATGTATCCAAATTTTAATAATATCCAAATCATAAAACAGTCATCCTTTGTTCCATAGTCAGCACTAATAAGCCAACAAAACAGAACAAACAGAACAAATTGTGTAATAAATACCAAGTACGTAAAAGTGCAACAAGAGTGAACATGATTTTCATGATATAACACAAGCTACTATCAACCTTGACCTTAAAATACCAACCGAATTGGATATTGCAGCATTTCCTTTTTATTTGTTGATTTACATATACATATACAGACATGTTCCATAGAGAATTCATGCGGTGATTCAACTTCACCCTACACGCTATCAATGGAGCAACTTCCGTATTCTGATAACATAACATTCTAACTAGCCGATGAAGCTTTTCTACAAAGCAACTGATGGAATGATGAACGAGCTGGCAGTAGATTGAACACCGATTGCAAATTGTCACACTGATATGCTTTAGACACGATGAAAAGTGTACAAAAAATATATATTTAAAAAAAAAGAAAAAAGCAATGCTATAAACTGTGTCGGTGGAACCAAAAGGAGTGTCGGTGGAAAACTGCAGCACCTTTCATGCGGCACGTCGATGTCGGTGGCGATTGTGAAACGCCGAGGTTCTGCCTCAAAAAAGTCTACGCTCACGCACTCTTGCTCACCGTGAATCTGATTGTCCTCGTCGAAGCATTGATGGGCGTGACATGCTGTTCAGAAACACATGTTTCGATGTCGATCGAGAGTGGTCAATCGGTTTGTGCGGTTCATTGACTATATGTCGATGCATGCAGTCGAAGTTTGTGTTCGGAGATATCGATGGAGATGCTAGTGGACGCTGGATAGATTTCTCAACCGACGGAACGCATCAGTTATCTTCGAGCTGTCTTTCTTATTCGGCGATGGCTTGTTGTCGGTGGCGGGTTTGGCTTCGAGTTCAGAGTTGGACCTGGTTTTGCTGATTGGGTTCTGGGGTGGTGCCAAGAAGGGTGAGATCGGAGCAGGGGAGTCGGTGGCGTGCGTCGGCGAGGCTAGGGAGGGCGGCGTAGGGTGTTCCGTATGGTCGTCGTTATTGAGAGTAGTGCCATTTGGCGTTGCCTTCGATAGCTGATTCCCACCTTCAGCTGATGTAGCTGGCTTTTCCCCTGATGACGATTCATACTTCGGCATGTTACGTGGCTGAGGCGACATTGTGAGGAGGATTTTAGGGTTCGCGAATGAAAGAAAAAGCTAGAATTAGATTGGTGGAAATTTTACCTGTCAGTGCCGTGGAATCTCCGTAGGTCTCTTTGATGAACGAGGTTTCGTAGTTCTCGTCTTGAATATTGATCACTGCGCATAAACACAGCATTTCATTGAAGAAACCAGCGTATAGATTGAATTGCACAACTAATGCATTCAGATAACATCTGACTTCTTTTCATTAAACCGTTGGTTGAAAACTCTCCCACAAAGTCCAAGATGCGGAAGCAAACCTTCACATGTGTCTGCACTAAAGGTGATAATTCTAAAATTACCAAACAAAGTTGAGGTACTTACGATGGTTGTGCAGACCGTTTCTTCCCATAGACCCAGCTCCCACGAGCAGAATAGTTGCCTGCTGCTTGTCTCTTGCTGATCCAGATGACAAATTGTTCGTGTCCACGAGAATTCCTGCCAACTGTTCCGTCGAAGAGTTCGTGAGGAATCCGTTAGCTACTATATGAAACATTCACCAAGTGATTGGCCTCTTTAAACCAAGCAAGTGTATAGAATTTAAGAACCGGGGAGGAATGGTATACCAGAAGCGTATTCATGTAGCGGGCTTGAAGGAGCTTCGGAGCTTCCTGTCGAAATTTTTCAGAGACAATGGTGCAGCTTGACGCTACCTGCATCCCCAATATGTTCTTCAGTAAAAAAATAAAATAAAAAGGCACCAGGGCAACTGAAAGCGGCCGCATCGAATACATCGCAAGACGGAAGGGTTGAATGAATAATACCTCGTCTTTTGTAACCAGGATGTCTTTGCCGATCAATGCTCGCTTGACGCGTCCTGCAACTGCATTCTCATTGATGGGTGGAATCTGCACAGGGACCGTGACAGGGGGGGCTCAATTCACAACAACATTCTGAAAAAAGAGGATTTTCACAGGCATGAATTAAATCAAGCGCTTCAATTGAGCAATACCTCATCTACGAATAGGACAGCACTTGCTTCAATGCCGCAAACATGGAAGAGCCACGCAGTGTCCCGATGCTCCCACATCTCCTTCTGACGGATGTTCATCACAGGAACCGGATGCCATTTTGCCGCAGTCGCTGACGCCATCGTGTTCTCCAAAAGCCACGCCGTGCAAAGCGTGGATACCATGGAGCTCAACCCTCCGCCCGCTTCGGACAATATCATGTGAAAGCGCTTTTCTGAGTCTGCGTTGCAGGACTCCAGAAACCGTCGCTTCTGGAGTGCAAGGAATTTCTTCAGGTGCTCTATTTCGCGGCACTTGAAAAAAAACTTCATGAGGGTGTTGTCGGTTGGAGGCGACCGATTGCGGCCCGCAACGATCTGCTCGAAAGACAATCCCGGCGGTCGAGGTGAAGCAGGCAGCAGCACCGCATTTCGCCCGACGCCCGCTCTCGGCTTCTCGGCGCTTTCTCTCTCATCCGACACTGTTCTCACAGGGTCCTGCGATTTGACCCCCCACCGCGTCATGGCTAAATCCGATCGCGACCATAACCCTGATTGCTGCGTTGTACCGGTGTTGTCGTCGAGGGAGAAATTTTCCCATGTGGTGAATTCTGGACTATGAGGAGATGCATTCTGCTGGTTCGCATTCCATCCTGAAAATAGCGAGCTCTGAAACTCTACCCCCCCAGGACTGATTGAAGATGCACCGTATACGCCGGGACTCGCTGGAGGACACTGCATTCCCCCACTACTTGGAAATGTTGTATAACGTCTGGGACTTTTCGGAAGGCTGAGCGGTGAAGGACAAGCAGCGGCGTACAAGCCAGGGCTCGTTGGAGCCGACCCTGCCCTAACCGGCAATGGCAACGGGGAATTGAACCCTGGGAAACTTCGGAAGCTACTTCTCTGCGAAGGGGTCAAGTTTTCAGGGCTAATCGGTGCAGAGGAATTCTGTATGGAGCTTCTCGCAGACTTGAATGAATCTGTCCAATCTGAAGGTATTGCAGTCAACGATACGCTTGGTGTTTCATGAAAGGAGAATGCAGGAAGAGGTAGACTAATTCCTTGAAGACAGTCGCTTGCAAGAGTTGCAACTTGATGCTCAGAAGCAGCAGGAGACTTTACCGACGATGGAGAGCTCTCTGTCACTTGGGTGGCGATCGAAGTAGGCGATTGTTCTTGCGTGTTCAGCGGCGAGGGTTTGATCCCCCTCTGCTGTGAGCCATTGTCTCGAAGATCACCTGTGAGTTTCTTCGGAGGTGCGAGCAGTACCTGGGCGTCGCGTGAGGGCAACTGGGGCTGCTTGGGAGAGAAGATGTGATCTGTCAGATTTAGATTTCCTGCATCCCAAGTGGAATTTCGCTTATGCTTGGCCACCAGTTTGGAGATGGAGTTCTTCTCCCAGGCATACTTCGCCGAAGAGCCATTCCCAGGAATCTTCTTGGCTTCGACTTTTACGGTAGTTTCTTCAGTATCCGAAAACATGGCCCCTCGTCGCAAAGCTTCGTAAATGCCGTCGCCTTCGTCTTCCGACTCCTTGCTCGACCGCCCCTGAACCCTTTGATGAACCCTCAGAAGCCACAGCTTCGACTTTACAACCTCGGACTTCAGTGTCTTCTTGTGCTGCGATTGCTTGTAACTGTGCGACTTCGAACTGACTTCAGAGTAAGTAGTGCTGACACTTGATACTTCAGACCTTGGACTGAAACACAATACGTCTTCATCAAGAATGTTACGATCCGAAATTTTTTCAGCACCATCACTAGCCTGTCGCTCTTTGTGTACTCTGCCCCGCTGCTCGATCTTTCCAATCTTCGAACCAGAACCCTCCTTCGAGCTCTTCTTGCCCAGCTTCCTCTCCAGTGACTTCAAAAACCGGCGCAGTCGGCCAGTTCTTTTGACACTACTGACTTCAGCCGTTTCACTCGAGGATTGGCTTGGCTGGAGTTCACTCGCATGAGAGGAGTTGACGATGTCATTCTTACCAGAGAGACTCCTCACAATTTTTTGCATTTTAATCATGGCCGGGCTCTCTCCTTTGAAGAAGCGTCCACTTGTTCCTTGAGAAGATGAATTCTGAAGCAGGGGAGAACCTGGAAGATCGACTGCTTCAGTCGACCTTCTCAGTATTTCGCTGCTTTTATCCACCACTACTGGAGCTGAAGATTCTGTCTCCCTGGCGCGATACGATTTGTCTGCCAATGGTGTCAAATTTAAAGAAGGGCTCGTTGATGCCCTCGTACGCAACTGGGCAGGCGCCGGCGCAGGCTTACCCTGGTAGCACAGTTCCAACGTCGGCACGGAATCCGAAGGTTCGCTGAACAACTCCAAATTTTCTACTTGTCGCGATGTCCGCGATTCCTGTTCGTTTCTTTCAGATGTACGTGACTTGATAACACGATTTGCAACTGGTTGTGTTTCACAAGAAAATGCATCCTTGCTTTCATTGGACACATGAGGATAAGCGGACTTCTTGAGACGAGAAGATGGTGGCCCCAACGACACAGCAGCTCCCTTTCGCGGTTTGTTGTCAAGACGTTGAGTTTTGTTAACCGCAAGTTTTCCAGCATCTGATTTGACCTTCAACTCTGCGAAGAATTGCTCTGGTTGCAGGAAAGAACTAGTTTTCTGCGTCTGAGGATGCGAAGGCTTCGCAAGAGATGGAGCAGATTGGACGTCGACCACATTCTTCTTGACTGGCGACCTCTCAACAATCTGCTGCGGCAAAGCAGGGCTTACCTCCTGACGCTTCTCAACATTCACTCTAACTTTCACGGGCCTGACAGACCGCTTGACTCGTTCCCCTCTCGCAACCTTCTCCGTCTTCATTGTAGACGACGCAGATCTTCCGGTTCTTCGCGCTCCTCTTCCGTCTAGTTTTTGCGAAGCAGATGGCGGCCCGCCCATGGTTGCTAAGATCTGACGTCCTCACTTCACTCCATGGGTGGGCCAAGCCCCTCATGAGTTCGCCGACATTGTATGGACTTCCCTTCGCGCAGCCGCCTCTCTTTCGTTGCCAACAATTTCCTCACAACACCCATTTCGACAGCAGTTCCTACCAACATGCAAGAACACTCTCCTGTCAGGACACGATCGTCAATCACTCTCAACCGCACCCAACAGCAACCCAGCGTCTGTCCTCTCATTCATGCTCTCTCACCAGCCTTATTTCAACAAACGCAACCAAAGTGCATTTTGCTCATTTCCAACTATAAGATCGCCAAATTCAGCGCATTGCCACACCTCGTCCAAACATGACCCGCATCAGCACAGCGAATTCTCCCCCTCTTCCTTCTCTGCAAAGCTACACCACTAATGATTCCGTCGCAAAGTACCAACTCTACCCAACATCACTTACTCGATCGCAACGGACACTCGTTCACCAAATTAACCCTTCGCAAAAATCTCGGACCTCGAGTCCGCCCAGACACACAAAAACCTCGTAAAACCTCAATGTACGCTCAACGGCAGGTAGAAGAGCGAGATCGAGAGACGGAGCATGTCATCCTAAGCCTAGTCCTATTACGGCGATCTCAACCAGGTCCACTCATTGCAATTAGCGCCACAACTAGACCTGCTGGAACTAAACTACGGCAGTCGCGTCAGCAGCGGGGCTTTCAGTCGAGCTAGCTAGGTCAAGTCGCCATCAATGGAGGATGGATGGCCAGTTGAGGATCAGCATTCTGCAGAGCTGTGACCGATGAGCAACATGGTGTACCGCGAAGAAGAGGAATGATGAGGTCTATCGGCAACAACATCAACAGCAGCGACGATGATGATGGTGGTGATGATCGGCCAAATGGACCCGCGCTACTTCGGCGTGTCTGGGGCTCCGAGGGTCCATTATACCGACTGCGCTCGAGCGCCAAACCCTTGGGGTGCAATGCTGAGCGTGTGATGCGGTGAAGCATTCCATGGTGGAGGAAGGATCCTCCTGGAGCTTCGTTTCCCGTAGAAAATGCTCCATCATACTCCTGCACAAACAATAGTGGTACTATCATGACTCTCTTTGTCTAGTGCTTTTCTCGCAGTCAAATTGTTCATTATTCATACATCTGTCTTCTTCTTCTCATTATTTTGAAACTAAGTGACATACAGATATGTGTATATATATATATATATATCTGTGTGTGTGTGTGTGTGTGTGTGGGGTTCTGGTTCCTGTTTCATTTGTTAACTCTAAAGGGATATTTTCAGTTAGGTGAATGTGAGTGAAGTCCAAGTGCAACGATGGAAAGTCTATTAATAATGAATAGAACATTGATGGTATGGACTCCATGCAGTAAGTCCAGCAATCACAACTATTAAAATAATAACTATGACAGCATTAAGGTATTAGAGATTAGGAAATCAATGAATGATATAAAGAAGAAAAGAAGACAGTTCAACAAAATCAAGTTGCCTTCGAGGTTTTTAAAGACACACAAAGGATTTGCTTTTGCTACATCATATTCAGTGTAGCGGTATTCTCATCTCCTTGAATAATAATGGAAAGTCCACCAGACCAAGACAATGGTCGAATGAAGGAAAAAATAGCATCGTCACTAACACAACACTCAATTATTTTTCTATTGACTGGACCATTTTGGAAAGACCTGCAAAACATGACAAATCCAAAAAGTTCTCCAATGCGTCTTTAGATTGTTCAACGTATTGCAATTCCTGTTAATTGAACCCTTCCTTACCCAAAATATGGAATGAAACTTCGTCCTTCTCGTACAAGCTCCAATAATGGAATACATCTCTTCTCTTGCACTCGCACACACACACATATATATATTTTCAAAATGGTTCACATGAATCACCAAGGAAATGGAAGAGTCCGCAATGAGAAGGATGTAACTGCAGTTGGATATACTGCATCGGATGGCTTCACCCCAGCTCATTCATGGATTGGCAGAGGTGAGGTGGGACCATGCTGCGGAGCCAGGAGGAACTAGTCGCCAGAAACAAGCGCCTGGGGCGGCGAAGATTCGCGAGCCATGCCGCGCGCGATGGTGAAGATGCCTTCCACTACCCACCCCATTTATAGCCTGCAGCTTATATTCGAGGCAAAACGCAGCCAGATTGCTACTCGCCTCGGATCAGTCCACTAACTTACTGGCCTTTCCTCAAATCATGTGCTTGGCAACGAGGAGGCTTGAATTGCGATGCCAAGTTAAGGAGTATGGCCAGAAACTCCGTCATGGCGGCCACATGGCCCACTCGTGGGTGAACAACTGGCATTTGCTGCAGAGCTCCGGTCGGGAACCCTTTAGAGGTCCACCGTAAGTAAGATGATGACTGCAAGCCTAAGACCAGGTTCAAATCTGATGACTTGATGTTTTTGTAACTGATGCATACAAGGTCTGTGTTTTTTTACGATCAGAAGAAAAGGAAATGGGCGATATAGACAAGCTTCTGTTGTGTGCTTGTAAACCTGTTTTGACCCGTCTCCTCGCATGCATATTTCATGCAAACTTGGACAGTCGATGGACGGAACGATCAGAGTGCCTGAAGCAAGACCCAGTTACATGGTCGATGGTTTAGGAACTGCTGCCGGGAAGACCCCCCTAGACAAACCCTGGCTTCTCCGATCCAGGTCGTGTTCCGTGTGGTGTTTTTTCTGTGACATTGGATACACATTAGTTGCATAGAATTCTGCATGAGCAGTTGATCTCATGACGAGCCAAACTCTGTCATTCTGCAAGTTCCAGAGGGAGTTGAAGAAAACTCGAGCTCATTGCATGCTGGTTGGACTTGCATTAGCAGAATTCGTCCGGGCCACAGACTTTTGAGGCTTGAAGCATATGCGTGGTCTTTACCGAAGCCAGCTGGTACGAACACACGCCCCGTCTGTGTAAACCTGCAAGTAAAATATGATGCTCAGAGGCGCTTCTACTTGGACTTAAAAAAAAAATCACAGACAACAGGCGCGCAATAGCCGCGCAATATTCTTGCAAGGACTCGGTCCTTTTTCTAACCGCATGCTGCAGCCTATCATCTGAGTCCATGGTCTGAGAAAATGCTCGGATCATAAACAATAAATTGAGATCACAAAAATTGAAGAAGTTAGCAACTTCGCAAGGATACCGGCATTTGCAACATCCAGGCTCGAAGGATGGTTCATTATACATACCTCCCCGCTTGAGATTGTGATGATTAGCGCCTAAAACTCTTGGACCAAAAGTAAAACAGCCGTGCTCAATACTTTCTAATTGTGTTTTCTCCCAATAAAATGCCAATCCTAATTCGTGGCAATTTTACCCTAAAAATCTGCTACTCACTAATCATTTACCGAAACAGATTCTGAAGCTCATTGTCGTTGCCTAAGCAGCTTTCTAACCATTGCTTTTTCAGTTTTTTGTTGGGAGACGCAGAGGACTCATTCTCGGTCTCCCCCATCGTCACATCACTTACACCACTGTCACTCTTATCTTGCTTAGAAGCAGCCTTGTCAACAGCAGTTGCCCTCCGCTCCCGCTTCAACCCCTTCATTTTAGTCAGGGCCATGTCACCCACCTCCTGTGCGGGAACGTACATGCGCCCAACCTTACCAGCCAACGAATCCGTGCTCACATTCTTAATCTTCTTCTTAGTAGTCTTCGGTGCAAGTCGCATGGAATCCTTCCACAAATCGGCGCTAGGCTCGCGGTTTCTACGTAGAACCATGTCCATACAAGGGCCAAATTCGATGAGTTCCACCCTAGGGACTTTGGTGCCGGACTTTTTGAAACTAATTGCACAGTGCTTGAAAACAACTTTGTCCCGAACAGCAACGCAGAGGAAAACCCTATCTAATCCCTGAAGATTGATTGTTTCGACGACCTCCCCACGCATGAAGTCAACTATGAGCTCCCTGAAGTGACGAAACTTAGGGTCTGATTCAAATTTCTCACCTACAAAAGCAAAGCATGGCTTCGACCCAGCTTGCGGTGAAGCCTTCTTCCGTCCCCCGAGAGATTCAATGGACTTGAAATTCTCTATCCCAACTTCCATCATATCGTACACATGGTGATCAAACATACGCCCCAAAACTAAATTATCAGGTCGCTTCTTCGAATGTGACCCAAACGCAAATAAGCTACAATCTGTTTTCTGGGAAAGGAACTCCAAAGACGTCTCGCCTCCGCCCTCGAACGGTCGAATCGCGTCATTTCTCTTCGTGTACTAGATAGCCTTACCACTGTCCTTGCGAAGGTGATAAAAATCGGACAACGCTTGCTTGATGTGCGTAGTGCTCTTGGTCCCATGCAGGAGCAATAGCTTCTTCGAGTTCTCCTCAAGCTTAGGAGCCCGCTTCTCGAGCTCCCGCTTCGCCCTTTTCGTCTTGGGCTTCACGACTCGAAGCATGGCTGCTAAACCCTCGTACAAACTCACGCTCTCGGAAAGGAACGAAAGCTAAAATTATCACAAAAAAGACATCACTCTTCCTTACTTTCCTCTTTCTGAAACCCTACAAATCACTACTACGACTTCGAACACAAATCCCTATTACTCCGACGCCAACTGTGGCTCAATTATACAAACAAAAACACTGAATTCAAGAGCTCGAGGGTTTATGGTTCAGAGAGTTCCTTTTCCCATGTCTCTCTCTATGGGAAAAGGCAAAAGCCGCCTATTTCCGTCCTACCGCCCACGATAAAGTTGCCTCCAAATATCATGTCGTGACTCGTTGCGTGATGGTATGTTCCACGATACCGAACCCATGTGCACGTGAGCCCTAAAAGCCTGGGAATGCTTGGAGAAGGGAAACCTTACTGGTCGTCAGAGTCAGTATGCAGTGAGGTTTGGGTGCGAGATTTGTGTTTCCGGCCAATTGTTGTGTCACTGGGCGATGCGAGCAGGCTTCGAGATTGTGAGGATTGAAGCAGCGACGTTCTAGTGCAGATGAAGCATTGTAATTCCTTGTAAGGAGCTGGCGAGGATCTCGCTCCGTGTGTTGTCTTTGTAGTTGGATTGCGAACCAGAATAGAGAGGGGGGAGAAAAATGGTGCGAGTTGTGGTGGGGGATGAGGGGCAAGTGGAAGGTTTTGTCGATTCGTTGTTTCAATCCCGCTTACAAGTGCAGGTGCTTTACTTTTTACCATTCGTGCGCTGGTTCTGCAGAATTGGCGTTCTCATTTTGATTTTGCTGCTTCAATTTTTTGATCCCATGACACTTCCAAGTTGTCGTGCTGTACTTGGGTTTCAGTCTCAGCATTCCCAGGGTTGTGTGAATGTGGTTACCCTGGACGAGATGACAAATATGTGCTGGGTGTTAAATTTGGAGCGACTTGGGGGATTGGATATTTAACAGGTCGGGCTACTGATCGGGAAATCGGAGGTGTCACCTTCTCGTGATTCTGTTTTTGCCCTCGTTCCAACGCCAAGAAGAGATGGTGGGGGCGAAGCTGCGAAGATCACAGGTGCAACTAGCGGTCAGAAAGAGAGCAGTGGGAAGAAGAATGCGAAACCCAAGCCCACTGTCGACAACTCTTCCGTGGATATTGACACTGATTGGGTTGCTGAACATTCGCGGCAGGTAATGGCCTCATCTGGATCGATCATGAAAATTAATTAGGGTTTGGCTTCCCCGCAGATTGTGATCTCCCTTGCCGCTTCGAAAAGCCTTCCCATCACATACTTGGGGTTTTTGCAGGTGTCGAGGATGCTCGTGGGAGGAATGGACGTGGTGGGTATATTTGTGTACGCATCTGAAAGCGCCTTAAAAAATTCGATATCAGTGTTGTGGCAGGTGAGTTTTTGCTGTTGTACAATGTGAGGCCACGATATGCACTCGCTTTGTCGGCAAACCTTCTGTAAGCCGCAATATGCCAAGTTTTTAAGTTGAAAGACGATTCTTGTTTGGTGCCGGGATTGGTACAGACTGTGCGGGCAGTGGCATCTGCGTCCCCTCTGAGTGAAGAAAACGATGAACGTCTCGTATTGAACATCTCTTCCAGTCCCCGTAGGTCAGTTTCCGAAGCGTGCTATTCTGGCTGCTCTGTAATTTGGACCGAACTTATAAGACATCTTTGGCAGATCAGTCTTCTCTAGACCGTAGGGCATTTTGGAGTGAGAACCTATTTTGAAGGTCAGGAATTACTTTCATTGGGGATATTCTGTCTGTTTTTCTGGCAGGATTTCGTGCAGAAGCTGTGCGCCTCTCACGAGTTTTTCATCAACAGCATTGCGACCTTGCGATTGGAAGCTTGGGAAGTTACTTTCAAATTTACAGACATACATTTGTTCTCATCCTGTGGAAGTCAGGTGCTTGACAATAATCCAACTATTTTCTGAATTGCACATTTTTTCTCTAGTTTGAGAAAGCGGTGAAGTGTTTGTCTGTTTCCTCATACATTATTATGTTTTGCAGCATACTCGTAGAATGTAAGGTTACCCATTTTTTTGTGTTTCTAAGCCTGTGAATAGCTTGCCATTATCGATATTCATCGTACGAGTGTGCTATGCGAGCAGAATACCATTGCTGGTCGATGATAATGAAGCGTCTGCTGGAACTGTCAAGGACAACTTATGTGCAGCCATTTCAGCTGAGTCTGCACGCCTCAAGTCCGCCGTAGCAATGGTTGATGGAACAGTGGTAATGAGCTTAACGTTCTTAGAGTATTGGTCCTAATCAATAAGTTTGTTGTCATTTAACTAGAAGTGGTGAGGTTTTAGAGCTTGCAAGACTTTGACGGTATTGAACTTAGTATTTATTGTTATTGTGATCATATTTGTTTTTTTAGGAAAATGTGTAAATTCAGTGGCGTCCAGCATGCCACCTCGAGGCGTCGTTTCCATTTTTACAGATTTAATATACTGCTCTTAGATATGCTTAAGAGTGGATATCTAGAAGCAGTATATTAAACCCACTATATGGATATTTGGATATTATTGCGTTTCATTTTCTTAGCGAATGTAGCTGTTTCTGCTTCCATGCGTGTGCAGCCATCTCAAGACGCACTTTTGGCGCCTCCGAGGACCTTGGATAACCCCCATGTTGTTGAATACCTTGCACAGTTGGACGGCAGTGGAGGCATTAGAGGTTAATCCTGACTCTCCGAACATGTCCATGTTGTATCCATGTGCGCACTAATTAAGCTTCAAATGTTTTTATTCTTGAGTTAGTTTTACATCATATGCCGATCAATCTTTCAATAGTCGTAACGGTACCTCCAGATATACGGGGGAGACAAAACGTTGCAGCAATGGTTACTTTAAGTGGAGTTGTACATGGCCGTGCCTATGCCTCCGCACGGGAGCCTCTGCAACGAGCTATCACGAACCTAGAGGTGTGTTTTGCTAGTTGATGACTTGATTGTCTTCCTATTCACGATGAAACTGGGCTCTTCGAGCTTACCCGACTGGTAAGCTACGAAAGAAATGACTATGTTAAGCTTGATTGTAGCAGGATGTGTTTCTGTATGATGGCTTGGAACCAAACATGGGTGGAATTTAGTTGGTGCTATATGAAGCAGTAGCATTGGTCCCCTACGTTCAGAGCGTAAGTTGGTATTAACTAGGTTGAACTTAAGCACCAGGTGTGTGCCAATGTTTGTGAAGTCTTGCTTGAGCCGTTTTAGCAGTGGTAAAAGAAGACCTCTTTCTCAAAGTGGACTAACATTATGTCCAAATTTTATTGGACTACAGAAAGACTTAATCTCGAGTTTGAGATCAAGGCTCGATCTACTGTGTGACGAGGCAGAGCGATCTGTTGAAGATGATCAATGTTCAAGCAGCAATGAAATGGAGAATTCTGTTGCAAAGTCAAACACCTCGTCACAGTTTTTACGTCCAAAGTATGCCCATAAATTTACCGTCTGTTGATGTTGCTTCTTCCACATGCCTATCATAATCGTAGTATTTGAGCGATGTTGTAGAATGCAATCCTTTAATAGGTCCATACACATCCTTTAATGTGTGAATGTTGTTGGCAAATTCATCAGACATTGAAACTAGTCTTGTTTGATCTCTGTGTGCATTTGGAGGCCCTTTCTTCGAGTTATAGACTGGTGGCATAGATGTTTGCATTATTGCAGCGTAATTTTGGGTGCCCAGCTTAGGCATGCTTCCACAAGTCACCATTCTCAATATCTTCATTAGGCTTATGGATATGTGTGTGGTTGCAGTGCTGACGCGGGTACAGAATGCAGTGTATCATTGCCACGGAGAGTATTTGTTCCTTGGCATAGCGGCACCTTTCTCTCTGACTATCTCGTCAACGATGAAACGTTGGAGATGGTGAATCCTATGTTCTCACTCTACGTTAAGTGTTCTGTACAAATGCATAAGCAGTGCACAATGTATTGATGAAGATTAATTACTCAAGTTTGTGTTTGTGCAGGACGTGAAAGTGAGATTCGAGGAATTGTTCTCTTTTGGAAAGGATCTGGATATTTCTGAAATTCTCCAGCCTGAGTTATCAGCAGTTGTCCCACCTGCTCCTTCCTTCTCACAGATAGTCCATCCAAAGAGGACTTCATCTAGTAAAGAATTGGTAGCGCCAAAAACAGACTCCAGCAAGCAAGTTACACCGCCTCGCAATCTAATGCTTATTGGGGCTTTGGGCATGCTACTACTTGCAATCTTATTAGCATTATTTATGTCCAAGTGATGATTGTCCAGAGAACAGTAGCGTTCAAAGCATTTGTGATACATACCTTCATTCTATTTGCAGTGATTCAATTTCAGGAGCCAATTGTGAGCTTGATGTGTTTGTGATGAGTTGTGACATTGGTTATCGTAGAGTGGAGAATCGATCTGTGCACCGGATGTGTATGTAGTGTGGTAGCTGATGTTGATGTACTGCATAATAGGTTTTCCAATACCTGTATTTATTTTAATTAGAGGCTACAATGTTTCAGTATGAATCCCCAGAGCTTATGCCTCTGAAATTGGCAGACCATGATACTTCAATGCTATGAATTGTCACCTTGCGTTTCGAGGTGAGGATTCAGTAACGAGTTTCCGCTCTTGGAATTCCGATGCTGAAAGTTTTCTAACATTAGAGTGGCGATTAACCCCTTAACAAAGTTTCTGTCTGTAAGAATATTTCTTCTGGAGACTCTTGTGGCTACTGGCAATGAATGTTTGCCACTCATCGTCCTTGGTCAGGAAAAAGCAGGAAGCCTGTAACCAGAACATTCAGCTCTCCTCTAGTCTTCTTTTACTCGAACGAACAAGGGGCATTGAACCCAATCAAGCAGATAAAGCGCGTGGGCTCGCATCGTCTCCCTCTCATATGAACATAAACTTCGTTGAATCCCAGAATAGTTCGTTTAACTGATCCCTTTGAGCCATCAGTCTAACGATTGATGTGAATTCCTCTATTCAGACATGATGCTCAGTTCGACTCAATTGCCAATCGTGGCGACGATGTCAGAAAATGGATTTGGGGACATGATGACGAGAAATTCTACAGTGTCTATGCAATCGACTGAGAAGGATAGCAGAGAATTGAAGAAACCATCGCGCTTTTGCTATCGGGAAATCGTCAGATGACGTAGATAATTTGAGGATTTTCGAAGGAGATTGGAATTGCGGACCCTGTGTAGAGTAAGGATTACTGCAAGTTACTATGGGTTCAAGGTTGTGGCACCATCACACACCGGGAGGATTGCCAACGCAGGTCACGCAGAGCTCTTGGAGAGAGATTCCAGTGAAGGTCGGAACTGTGAATGCGTCGTCCAGGTTTCGGGAGAAGCCTCGCAGCAAGACGGCGCATTTTGTTGGTTTAGAGTTGGAGTTCCGAGAGCAGACGGGGTGTCCGAAAACAGAGAGGGGTTTTAGTTCTCAGTTGCGTCCGGGGAATGGTACAAGGAGGACGTTGTCGTCGAACACGTGTGCGAGGAGCTCCGCAAGCTAAGTTGGGCGGAACGGAGGCTGCAGTATTGTGGCATGCTGGAGGAGAAGTCGCTGGAAATCAGACTCGGTGTGGTGGAGCGACCAAGGAAGGAGGAATTTGGGGCGTTCTCTAGTGGCAGGCGCGTCGTCGGGGGGATCGTTCCAGCAGTTGTTTTGGGATAGTGGAGGGAATTCTGAAGCGGATGATGGCTTGGTGATTATCAGAGGTGGAGGTCATGGTGGAGCTGAGAATTGGGGGGGGGGGGGGGGGATGGAGGTGGAGATGGGAGCGACGAGAGCAGTGGGAATGACGGAAACGAGAAGGGAACGGGTGGAGAAATTCTTTTCAGGAATGAAGTGGAGGAGGGCGCAGATGACGAGGAATAAGTCGTCACGGGAACGCCTATTCAAAATCCGAATTTTCGCGCACCGGTCCAAGCGTCCTTGAACTCCGTGGCAGGGAATGCGTTTGATGGAGAGGCACCCTTTGGCGAACATCTGCTTGGAAGGAGTAAGAGAGCTGGGTCTGCAGAAGAAGCGGATGCAAGAGTGCCCTCAAGAACTTTCTACAAGGATACAAATGGTGAGATTCTCTGCAAAGTTGACAAGGCTACGCACTACGATTTCAATTTTACATCTCCTAAAAATAGCAGGCATTGAGATCAATCTGGTAAGAATAAGCATCTCGGTAAATCGAATGTTTGCAATCAATGTGTCTTATCTTTTGTTTGAATCTTAATGATCCAACCTTGTCGGCCACCTCGATGCTGTTCCGGTTTCGACTTTAGCTCCTGGTGGTAGTAACCGGCACATCAATTTAAACTGAACTCTTCATTATTCGCTGTGAAAATCAACAGGCTCTTCGGGTGGTACCAGTGGGAAGGAAAACGATCAAGATGCGTTGGTTCAGGAGAGCACGGCACAGGCGGCGCAGCTTGTTCAGCGGAACGGTGGAGATGAGGCACATGCCATGCGCTCGGAGGTTCGGATTCTAAGATACCCTGCAATTCCTCATTCGACTGTACCTCGTACTGTTTCTTATTTCTGACGATTTGCAGTCTTTCTTTCTATTGAGCCTGCTGACGAGCTACCTTCCACGAAGACAGCTGCTTTGAGGAGACTACAGCGTGAGGCTTGTACTGACCTGTTGAGGGTCAAAGAGCGTCTGGACAAGCTTGAGTACCACACAGGCCTACGTACATCGAAGGAGAATACTTCGTTTGGTGAAGGCGGGTCTAGGACGAATCTGAGGGGGAAAGTGAGCGCTGGAGGTGATTTCGTCTTTTTAGACGACGAGAGCAGCCGACACTCTCGCGCCGCGCTCGAGCAAGCTGGTCTCCACACAGGCTTGGATGTGCGGTTCACATTTGAGATCTCTTACAGGGAGAGAGATATGACCACAGAGTGTTCAGCTGGGCACTCCGGCAGTGATGGCAGCATACTGGGAGGCCCCATTTCAGTTACCAAGCTTGTCTACAACGCTTATGTCACAAATGATTTTAACGTTGTGATCGCCCCTCTGGGAGCTCATGGTAACGATGTAACGGAGACTGTAAACCCATTACAGGTAAGCATGATAGCGACTAATTCCTGCTCCTGAGATGAACCAAATTGGTAGGTTAATTGCGTGAGAGTGTCTCGTTTGTTTAAGCTACATAGGTAGATCAACTTCTAATCTATCGTGTCTATACAGGGGCATGCATTGACACAATTTGCAAGGGTAGGGCCTGCGATGTACCATGATTGCGTGGGCTCTGCTTTAGGGGCTACTTTGAGAGGAAAGGCGGCGCTGGTTTCGTTGTCGCAGTTCCTTTCAGGCTGGGGTACCGAGTGTTTGTTATCAGATGGGCCAGTTAATAGTGGGCCTCTGTGTCTCTGCACCCTGGCACACATCATGTTTCAACCATGGAAGAACTCTGTGTTCTCCCTCTCAGCCGACAATCGCTTCTGGCCCAGCCCTCCCTTGCCTTCTTTCAGAGGCTTGCATTGGAGCGAAATGGGACCTCTCGTTCTCTCGAAGTCTCATCACAGTCGTAAAAACTCAGAATCTATCAGTCTACCGATGAGCAACCCCCGGTACTTTCGGACATCCATGGACAGCATGTCGATGCGCGATTATAGAGCATTGTCCGACAACCCATCCGGATATTCTGCAAATGCTTCATGGGGGACAACTTACGGTGAGCCTGGTCGAGGAATCATCACTATTCCAGGGACTCATGGAAGCGCAATGCAGTCGATCGCAGTGGCTGGAGAAATAGACGTAGGTGCGAAAGTGAGCCTTGCCGTTTCAGGACTCGTACTCTGAGTGCAGTTTCACCTGGTAATCATGAAGGAAAGCAATGAAAGCGGGGGCTAATGCTACATCCCTCAAAATGAGCTCCTGCAATCTGCCTGACTATACAAGGAACAAGAGCGCAAGGATTCAGCATCAGTTTTCGCATACAAACTGTTGACTAAGCTTTTGTAAGCGTTGATCGTTAGGAAAGCTGGAATGACAGGTAGTCACAAGATGCTCAGTGCAGACATGATGTTGCTTTCTGACAAGATCATAAACAAATACAATAATAATATGTACAAAAACAACAATTCTTCGCCATGGAAACATTTTTATCAATCCAAATGCTCCAGCATCGTCTAATCAAACGTTCCAAAAGTGGAATACCTTGTCATGCACGTCGCCAATACTGGTCTTTCCGACGTGCAGAGCAATTTAGCTCACTGCACAAAGACAATACTCTCAGCTTTAGAGCCAAATAATAGGTATCAAGACATACATGTCTTCATGTAATAATAAGCATCAACACACCAAATCCTGAGAGTAGGTTCTGCTACGTGCACATGTAGTGAAATTCGCCAGTTATAGGTCGCGCCTCTTGTAAATGTATCGAAATGAAAGCGCATCCTAGTTAAGAACTCACAACCTATGAGGTAGATTCTACATGAGGCTCCTTCGGCAACTGGTTACCTCCATGGATGATGAACACGGTCGGGAATACATCAAGGTCTTCCTCACTTCACCGTCATCTTCCCCAACAGTGACCCAAACCTCATGGATGCTTTCAACCTCCTTGTCTTGAAATTCCACAAGAACGAAATGTCTTTGCGTCAAAGTTGTGAGTCCTGGATCCATAATTCCTCGCACACGAGGAACAACCGCTGCGTTGAGGTATATAGTTTTGTCAGGTCCAACAAGTAGCATGGTTCGCTTAAGGGGGTTTCCACGCTGCAACTGCTGGTGCATATGTCCAAACACCACAAGTGGCACTCTGATGCCCTCTTGCTTCACCTTGGCTATTGCTTCCTCGAAATCTAGAATCGATTTCACAATATCACAACTTTATTTAGACACTAGTGTAGATTTTTGATATTAAAGAGCAACTGTGATTGCCATTTTTGTAAATAACACATTTGTAAATAAAACCATTTGTAAACAACACAAAACTACTCAAAAAATTAGTGCATAGCAGTTTATATTTCTTACAAAGGTGAACGCACAAAGTTGGGGAGAAATATTATTCATTCAGCCGTTATCTACCAGGAACTAGACAAGAGAGTAGTCAGAACAGCATAAAACTCACCAGGATCACCATGATCTCCTCCACGTTCAACCCAATCACGACCACATATATCATGAACTTTAGACCCTAACCCTGAAACAACAAAACCAATTGCAGGTTGGAAATCGTTCCGAGTATTGTCTCCAGCCCACCCTTGGAGGGTTTCAAGACTTGTAACGGACATCTAAGTAAATACCTTTGCAGAAAGACATGTGACCATGTTGAAATATTTGTCGAATGTAAATGTGATAAACGCGTACCGCGAGGACCATTGTGGGCCAAGAAAACAAGTGAACTATCTGGCGGTGCTTTCTTTGCGTTTTCAACCATTCGTTGGGCACTCTCGCGGAAACTATGCACACCAAACCTATACAAAAAAGTTACCAACCATCCCGAACGATTCGAAGTTAGCACCAGACCAACTCTACCTAGATGTTAAAATTATGCAGCAGCAGGTCTCTAGATACCGCGATCAGATATTAGACATTGTCGTTAACACCTGCCTTTTATGTTGACATGCTGGATTGATCGGAAGACAGCCACGATGTCATATGTCGAGCCAGAGATAAATAAAGTATTAGGAAACTAACCTGGGACCAAGGAGCGCGGCAAAGGGGTTGTATGCGCTGTGAATTCTCTCACCGCCCATAGAAAAGGGTCGACCTCCTACAACACTTAAACGTAAAGCTGGAAAATCTAAGCGGCCAAAGCCGACATGCACATCCCCAAGCCTGTATTGAAAAATAATGTTAGAAAGCTGAGAAATTGAACCAATATTCATCCAAAGGTCCGACACAAGTAACAAGTCTTATAACGGTTTTGAGTGAACTGTCTGTGAAATATGTGGTGCGTCAGAAGCCAATAGCTATAAATCATCACCATTCACTTCACAAAACTTTCTACACGAAACAAATGACTGACGTTGAGATCAGAGTGCGGAAACTCACAGCTCGAGTTGTTCCTGAACTTTATCAATTTCACTATCGCTTTTATCCTATGCGAAGCAGAAATTGAATTAGGAATGCTAACTAAGAAGAAACATGGCCGTGCTGAAAACAGCAGTATTTAGAAATCAGCAGCAGCAGTAGCCAATGAAGCACGTGCTTAAATAAGGACAAGTTCATTTGTGAATTCGATAGATCGTAATACCATGTATGGCGCAAATGGTGAAACTGTCTCCCAGCAATCATGGTTTCCAAGAATGGCTGCCTTTGGAAAATCTAACTTGCTGACATCTCGTACCAAATCCACATTCTCGTTTCCAAAATCACCTGTAAATAACACGACATCCGGCTGTACAAGAACAAATGGGCATGAGTTCCTTGAAAACCAAGCACATCGATTCACGAGCTAGAGGAATATTGGTTTTACAGGTCTTCAATCATTTTCAAACTTCTCGTAGGAAAATCCGCATACCTTTAAAAGATGAAGAGCCTTGGAATCCTTGACTGGATGCCAATCATCATGCTGAAAGGAAAGATCACACAATATCAATAAGAAACACAAATATAACTTCTTAAATTATGCGCAGATATTGCAACTCTCTGATATGCTAAGCCAGAAATCGGAGGTTGCAAATCTGAGATGCAACCACGGTAATCTATGTAGGTGATTTACCTGCAACTTATCGCACTACACAAAAAAATATTTAAAAATTAAAGAAATGAAGCTAGAACATCACACTGATGAGCAAGAATTGTATTAAAAGAAATTGGAATCAAAAAAATTATTTGCAATCACACCTATGATCTCAAAATGCCAACACAACCTAATGAGCTCTCGAAACTACCACGTGCAACGCAAATTGTATCGCGTATATTGACGGGAATGGAGGCGAGATTCCAATCGCTGTTCATCACTAATCAACTCTAAAATGCAAACAACAAAAATCAAAAAACAAAACAAAAATAAAAAATCTCGGTTCTACAACGAACATTGACAACAGAGTTTTGCGCAATCCACAATCCATTCACAAGAAAATCGAAAACGCTCAATCTCAATTTTGGAATATTCAACACGCGACGTTACAACACAACGAATTCAGGGAGAATTAGTTGACAATCGAGAAGGATTCCCTCTCCACGACAAAACAACTTATCACCGAAAATTCACAGCCAATAGAAGCAAGAATTATAACAAAATTGGAGTTCGAAATAGAGCAAGAAAGATTTTTTCGGCAAATTGGAGGAATGCAAAGTCGAGAAGAAGCATTTACCACGTCGCCGACAATCGCGATCCGCACTGTCATTGCTGCCATTTGCCGCTTATTGGCTCTCGCTCTCGCTCTCTCTCTCGAGGTTATGGAGACAACAAACAAACAAACAAACAAACCAGCTTCCCGACTCAATGTTTAGCTTCCCTTCCACAGTCTTGTGAATCTAGGAATCGCACTGATTCTTCTTATCCACGAAATTCGATGAAAGTCTTATCTATGATCTCCGGAGATGATCATATCCACATTAAGAATGATTTCCTTTTAAATAGTGTCCCTAATTTCAGTGTTGGAAAGGGGTGAGTATGAATAAAATGGATATTTGGGTTGGATTTACACTTAGTATGGTTCTCTCTATAAAACATTGTGTAACAATTTTACGGGAATGTTAAATAGACCTATGCTTTTGATAAATAGATCCGCTTTTGATAAATAGATCCACTTTTGATGAAGAATATGGTAATCTTGAATGTGGTTGGTTTTTATTGGTTGCAGATCCTATAATGGAGAAATGAATCTAGAGCTCTTTTTCTTTTTTCTTTTTGTCATAATGGTTTGGATGGATAGGTTGATCTACTAAAAAAATGGATTTATTCATTCAAAAATTTATTTATTTATTCATTTAATTATTTATTTATGCATACTAATTGAAGATATTAAAATATATATATTTTTTTTAAAATAAACCATTTTAAAATGTATTCTAGGTGTTAGATTATTACAAAAGATTCAATTACAATAAAATGTTGAAATATTTGATAAGAAAATAACCATAAAATATTTAACCAGATATTTTATTTTATTTTTCTTTTTAATTTCTTAGAATCTCCCAATATTACTAAATACAATGTTCTATCTAAATCTGTTAGCTTTTCTTAGAACACAATTTTAAAATTAAAAAAGAAACAAATCGCCCTTAAATTATGGCTCTAAAAATATTTTTGGAACATAATTAAAATATGATACATTATTCTTTATTTATTTTATAGCCATTAAGTTTTTAATTTAATAAAAATTAATATTAAGTTTTAGATTCCTAAAATAAAAATATAATTCTGTACTTTTATGCTATAATGAACAAATATATTTCTAGATATATATATATATATATATATATATATATATATTTAAAGCTTCAACAAAACAACAAAACTTGTTGATTAAATTAGTCTTCTACTAGATCTTATATAGTTGATTTATTTAAGTAATAATTCTATGACATTGAATTATTTAAGTAAATATACCTTTATAATTCTATGACATTTAATTTTTAAAAATTAATCAAATATAGTTAATTTTTAAAACAATAAAATATTATACAATATAAGTTTATAAAATATAAAATATTTAAAATCTGAACTAAATCTATATTTTATTATATTATAATTATGAATTAAATAAATTAACTTCAATAAAAATATGATTACGAAAAAAAAATCATATTACAAAACATATATATTTGTTGTAAGTATTAAAGGTTGAATATTAGCTTACATTTTTGGCTTGTTTGGTAATACCTATATTTCTATTTCATTTAAATATTTTAGATGATTTTTTAAATATTTATTTATAAAGATAGAATTTCTACCATATTTTTTAATATTTTAAGTATTTTTAAATTAAGAATTAAAAAATTATCTAAATAATAATATTCTTAAAAAAATTATTGTCTTAGATTTCAAAAATAGTTATAATCAAATAGATAATAACTTTGTCTATGAATAAATATTTTGGAAAAAATATATACAATAAAAAAGCTTAGGTATAAGACAAAGACATAAAATAGTCTTCTTATTGGCCAAAATAAAAGAAATTGTTAACCAATAGAAAGCCTTGCATAATTAGCAAAAAGACCACTAGTTCACTATTTGTACAATAGATCGATTTATAGTTTTTAGGTGCATAACAACATGGGTATTTTTTAGTATTTTATAAAAGTAATTAAAGCTATATTGAAATAATATTTTTCTTTATAAGAATTACAAATAAATCATGTATTGATAATAAATAATAAAATATATTAGACTTAACTCCTATATTCACAATAATTTAGTACTGCAATTTTTTTTGTTAATTCCTATAATCCTCTATATTATTTCGCCTTCAAAACTCCAAAACTGCCAAAAGAAAAACACCCCTTTCAAGAAAATGACTTCCAAAATATATATATTTTTAGCATTTTTAACACTCTAAACCATAAGATCTTGTTTCTAATTTATATCAAGATCAGTCTATCAAATCTTAGATGTTGAAGTTACTACATGTAAGAGATGGTAATATTCAAAGTTAGAAGAAGAGTTTTTTTTTTTTTTTTTTTTTTTTTTTTTGCCCAAAAAGCATAATGAGACTTATGCTAGGCACAATTCCTACTTGTGACTCTAAACTTTTTGGAAGAATTGTTTTTCAAAGATACCCTCAAGTTAAGTACATGCATGTAAAATATTAGAGCAAGGAGATGTGTATGGTATCTTCAACTAAATTGTTTTCAAGAAGTAGGTGGTTGGAAACTAGTAAGAAAGAAATAGTTTCAAAAAATTATATTATTTAAAATAATAATAATAAACTTTACTCAAAAATAGACAATGGATAGAAGCAATTTAACATAGTTTAAAAGAAGTATACAGATATATATATATATATATATATATATACACAAATGTCAAAAAACTAAATTGATATAGATTTTAGAAGGTCATACATAACCATTAGTTCTAAAATGCACTAGGTAGCTTTATATTAGATAAATATTAGACTTATTGCCCTATAATATTATTGTTATGCAACGTCCAAAACTACCCACAATTGCAATTGTCACATGCTTGGCACAAGTCCTTGCCCAAAATATCTCAATTGAGATCCAAATTTAAAAAAATATTATAACTAATTCCAAAAAACTATTTTTCTACAACAAATTAGTGGAGCATAAACTTCATAAGATTTTCTACCCTTAAAAGTTTTTTTCTTGATAAAAATACCAAAGTTTGATACTTCATGTAGAATGCCCAAAATACATACTTGTAAGTTGGAAGTTGTCATTTATAGACAAATCATGAAAAAAATAAAAATTAAAAAAAATAGTTGAAATTAAAAATTAAAAATTAAAAAAAATCAACATCAAAATATAAGAAAATAAAATTGCAATGCAGTTTTAGAGAGGCAGTTCAAATTGACTTTGAAATGTTACCACCAATGAATGGTTTTTTATTTTAATTTTGATTTAATAATAAAGTATCCACCAAATAACCAATGCTCCATTTGCCACATTCCTTACACTCCCAATCTGCCCTAATCTAATGGGTGTTCAAAGACAAGTAGCCTTGTTACCCTAAACCCTAAAACATGGGGTTTTGGCCCGTTGTGCAATAAAATAAAATAAAAAGAACATGATACGACATGGACACCAGTTTCTGGCTTCGAAACTGTGGGCCTCACTCACGCCTCGTCACAGTTCAATCAGGGATCTCCATCAGTTTTGCCCACTCAGATGCAGCAGATTCGTCCTCCGGTGCGCCGGGGCGATGATTCCGAGGTCAAACACTGCAGTCGAAGAGTGCAGGCACGCATCGAGCGATCGCGAGCGGGCAGAGACGTCGGATTGGGAGCTGGTGAATCAGTGAGTGGTTTTGAAGCTCGTCAGATGCGTGGACTGTTCAGCCAGCCTTGCGGAGGCAATCATAGAAAGAGCGTCGAAAATCAACAACACAGCTACAGGGAGTAGTTAGTTTAGCGGATTGATGTGAATCAGTGTTCAAGTCCTGGATGAAGGATTTGAGAAGCCTGTTGCAGAAGAGGATCTGGAATGCGGCTGAATCGTGCGAACCTACCTCCCGTTCATCAGACAGCAGCCGTCAAAATAGCTCCCCAGAAAGATACTGCACCCTTCATAGAGAAATGTGGTAAGGAACGTCAAAAATTGCTCACAGAAGATTTTGACCAAGTCTGGTGTAGCTCACAAGTCTTTTGCATAGGTAGCCTCCGCTCAGTTCAATGGGTAATGACCCCAGCCTTATCAGCACTGCCCTCCCACTCCTGGACACAACTGATTTGTGTGTTATATTAATGTAACCACCGTTCGTTCAAAAAAAACAAAAAAACAAAGACACTGCACCCTCATCTTAATGGAGGGCGGTATTTAAAGTTCGGTCTGTAACATTGAATGTTGATTCTCTTTTCCTTTTCGGGATATCTGTTCTTGTCCTGCGTTTTTCAGGGGTGTATCCTTTTGCAGTTATGTTTTTTTGTAAATTATTTATCAAGTTCTGGAATTGAAAAGATTACCAAAATTCATAGAAGATCGTGCCGTGATGGGGCAGGAAAGTCCTGAAATAGTAACATCTCTCATTAGAATTATGGTGCTGGATACGGCTGGAGCTCGAAACATTAAGCAGGAATTCGGGGGGCTCGTCTACCAAAATATCTCTGTGCCCAGATTCGAGTGCCCCAACTTGTTGGCTCCAATTTTTGGAAGGTATGCACCGCGAAAACGGCACTTAGGAATAATTGAAGTGGAGGCCAGCGTCCCATGGTATTACGCGTTGTCAAGTTTAATCATTGCATCGTTGCAATTTCAGCATCTGATTATGGGCAACGATGGGTCCCCACAAGCTTGTCCTTAATAAGGAATCCACTGGAAACAAGCCATGCGTCAGTCCAAGTGTACAAATGGAGTAGTGTCCAGAATCACTGTATCTCCGCTTACAGGAAAGGAAACCATTGAGATTGTCAGCACACCCGGAGGTCGGAGAGACTCGTGTTTGAATGCCAAGAAGCGAATCCCAACTTATTCAGAGTTCTTCATCAGTAATTGCGTCGAGTGATGGCACAGGCACTGGTCTCTCCTACATGCCCTCGAGTAGTGGATAAAGTTGCAGCAGTGACGGCAAGACTGGGGGCGATTTTGAAGGAATTAGGATATTTTGCGCCTCCAGTGGCACTAGTGGTTATCCTTGCCACCAAACTGGTCTGGGATGCTCGGATTCAATCTCAGAGACGGAAGACGCTTCCCCCGGGGCCGAGGCCATGGCCCATCATCGGAAACCTTTCTGCTCTTGTGGGTGACAAGCCGCACCGTGCCCTCCAGGAGCTGGCCTTCGAATTCGGAGGTCTTATGTACCTTCAGCTCGGTATGTCCAGTTCAATAGTTCCGTAAAGCATACTTTAGGTTTCGGGAATTATTGCCGGGCGTCGTGAATGACTTCAACTGTCTCCCGTTGCAGGATCAGTGCCGTGTGTAGTCCTTTCCACTGCCGAAGCTGTTAGAGAGGTGTTCCGATCCAATGATGAACGCATATTGTCGCGGCCGAAGATGTTAAGCTTCGGAATCATCTCGGACAATTACAGATCAATCAGTTTTGGCCCTCCTGGGAAGCTATGGCAAAGTATGCGTAGATTTTGCAGCACGGAGCTGTTTACCAATACGCGTGTGGCTTCTTATCAAGGTCGTAGAGAAGAGGAGGTGAAGCACATGCTGATGGTCCTTGTGGAGGAATCAGAGAAAGGCAAAGCTGTTGATTTACGTAGCTGGTTGCATGATCTATCTTCCAACATGACGACTCGAATGCTTGTCAACAAAAGGTAATGTCGCTGACTATCCGAGAGGATCTCTTTCACTCCTGACGATCATCTTGGTTCTAGAATACAAAGCAATGCCCAAATATAGCCAGTGTCGCACTAGTCCAAATCAAGGTTCAATGGTAAGTATTGCTCATTGCATTGGAATCGACGACCGAGAGCGTTTAGGCAGCTCACCATTGCTTCTCTTGTGTAGAAAAGCGTCGAAAAGCGTAACTTCTAGGTTGATTTGTGATTCGCGTTCCCTGCGACCCTGGCTTGACGGAGAGTAGACAAAATTTTAGATGCAAGGGTACAGTCCTTTCTTTTGTATGAAGATTAACCCATGGTGGCTCTGACATAGGTTCTTTGCAAATCGTGGAGAAAACGATGGTAAGCAAGAGATTTTAAAGAGCGAACTCGAGCACGTGCTAGAAGGATTTAACGTGAACATAATGCGCAATGTCTTAAGCGACTACTTGCCTTCCTTACGATATTTCGCGGAAGAACTGCATGGTGCTCGCGCTGCGTTAGAGGCTTTTCGAGATGAAGCAGCAACAGTTGGACGGAAGATTGTCGAGCTTGAGAAGCACAGACAACGAGCTCAGAATCCGTCTAAAGATGAGAATTATGTTCCAGACTTCGTAGATGTCTTGATAGGGGCGCCTCTGGACGATGGTAAGAGCTTGTCTGATACGCTGCTCACCGTGCAAGTCTTGGTAAGGAGGGATTCTGAACCCCACGTCATCCCATCGCTGCATCAGACTTGTAATTTCTGAGTTCGTTCTCTCTAGTCTTTACAAATTGGCTTGCGACCCGAAAGCTCTGAATCATGCGAAGTCGGTGCCCTACAGGAATTTTTCTTCGCTGGAACACACACGAGCTCCGCAACAGTGGAGTGGGCGATGGCGGAGCTGATCACACACCCAGATCTAATGAAGCGCGCACAGGCGGAGGTCGACGGTGCAGTACCCGCTGATCGCCTCGTCCGTGACTCAGACATTCCCAATCTCCCCTATCTCCAGGCGGTAGTGAAGGAAACGTTCCGCATGCACCCCGTGCTATCGTTGGGCGGTCCACGCGAAACAACCAGACCCATCGAAGTTAATGGATACAAAATCCCTGCGCAGACAAGGCTCTTCGTGAACATCTTCGCGGTCCACCGCGACCCCGCCGTGTACACGGACCCCGAAACTTTCGACCCGGACAGGTTCCTCACGCAACACCTCCATACGAATCACTGTTCGGGGTTCGACTCCCACGAGCTGATTCCGTTCGGCGTCGGGCGGCGGATGTGCCCAGGATTCCATCTCGGCAACACTCTAGTGCACTTGATGCTAGCCAATCTACTGCACCGATTTCACTGGTCTCTCCCCGAGGGCGAGACCATCGCCACCGTGCAAGCCTCTGTGATGTCGGAGAAGCTCTACGGCCTCTTGTTCCACCCCAACGAAAACCTTCACTTGGTCCCCGAGCTCAAAAATGGTCTTCCCGCATCGTGAGACTTGCTTTCGCACCCTTCTATCGACAGCGTTGCACCGACAAACTAAGCTTCGGGTGCGGTAGAACACATAGATCTCTCTGTCCACGATCTCCTTGAACGGCATCGCGATGGAGCTTCGGTGAACCGACACTCTCCACTACAACAACCATCTCGCCGTCGATCGATGCTCCGGCGGATTTCTTCACTCTGTTGCGGATTCGGATTATGAAACCGTGAAGTTCACGATCGCTCAAAATTTTGACTAGTTTTGACAAGTTGTCATATATATATATATATATATATATTTATATATTCAAGTTGACAAGTTCTGTATGAGTATATATATATATATATATATATATACATACATTTACATATGAACACGAATATGCATTGTATAATGGTGATTAAAATCTATGAACTAGTATGATATGCCATATTATTATAAGTTTCTATTTTCATTATGAAGCAATTGATGTGATATTGAGTGATGAATGTTGCTACATGTTCCCCTTCCAGAAAAGGTTTTAAGTTTTAAATGTAGTTATAATTATATCAGATTTTAATTCCTATGTTCTTTTTTAAAATATTATTTACCATGTGGATAGCTAAATGACATCGAAAGTAGGTGAGTAGCTAAATGACAGAGAAGTTGATGAGAAGTCAAATAACTATGTTGTTAATGTGTGTATGCAAATCAAGTAAAATGCTCACTAACATCAACATTCAATTTTAGGAATTTAAATAGAGTTTTGCACTTGCTAGTGGAATTTATTTGTAGATGTTTTGTGTAGAAATTTCTAAAAATCTTTTTATGACTATTTTGTTAATGGAATAGGTAGATTCATAATTCAAATGAGTATCTCTCAAACTGATTTAAATAAAATTAATAAAATCTTTTTTTAAAGACATGCATGGTTTTAATTTGGTTTGTGGCTCCAAAACAGAAATCTAAGTATTGTAATAAATGAAATCATTGTGAAACATTAGTTGACATTTTTATTAATATTGTGCTTTGAAGTTATGTGAGTAGTTCTTTTGTATTCAAAATAGAATTAGAAGTGCTTCCTTTCAACAGAAAAAATTACAGCAAGAATTTTTTCATTTTGATTTATACACAAACTTTAGATCAAAATATATTTTGGTTTTTTGCCAAAAGTTAGCCAACATTATTATTTTTTAGGTTTTTATATCTAAAACTAATTTGGTAAATGACATGTCTAAAAATACTACTAAATTCTTTGTCAAATTAGTCTTAAAAAGTATTTTAGAATATTAACATGAATTTCTTCCAAATAATTAGTATCAAATATTTGCTTACTAAAACAAGTTGGACACTATGAGACTAAAAGGTATAAAAACAACAACAATAAATAATACCAACCTGCAACACAAGAACATCAAAAATGCATAAGCTAAATACAACAAATAAATAAAAAGTTGTGTCTATATAATAGTTCCACTAGGTGCACACCACTCTTTTATTATTTATTTTATTTTCTATGGTTAGCTCCTATGTCAATTGTTGTTATTTTTATTACTATTTTTATATATTTAGCTTCATTTGTGTCCAATTATTAATAAATTTATAGCAATGGTGTATTTTTAATGTACTATGGGAGATATCTATACAATAAAAGAAATGTGTCCATATTGTAAAAGAAGGGTGTCCACCTAGTTGTTTTCTAATCATATACCTTCATAACAAAGTTGACAACCTTGAAAAATAATAGAATTATAATAAGCTTTAAATATATATATATATATGTATTTATAAAAATTAAAAATTAAAAAAACCAAATTAAAGCTATGAAATGTAATTATAATGTAACTATCAAATCTAAATATAAATATTCTACATGAAAAAGTTAAATTTTTATTGTTGAAGTTTCTTCTTTGTTTTGTTTTTAAAAATATATAGACTTAATTAAAAAAATAAATTCTAAAAAATCAAACTAATGTTTTAATTAATCATGCATTAAAATTAAAATGTATATATTTTTCATATTATAAAAAGTATTTGTTGGAATTATAATAGTTATTGCTCCAAGCAAAAACTCCATAACAAAAGAATTATATCTTTTTTGATAGAATAAGATAAAATATTGTGTCTTTTTTAGTCATTAGTGGCAACTTTGGTTTTAATATAGCAATCTCTTGATATTATATTCTTAAAAACTTACAACTTCTTAATTTTTTTATACTACTTATTGTTAGATTTGTTTTACTTTATGCAACTTTAACTTACAAAACAAATGTAAAATCTATATGAAAGTCGTCTTGAACTTACAATTTAATGAGTAAATTGTTTTAAGAATTGAATTTCCTATTGCTGCAGCTCAAATGGGCATTTCTTCTTTGTTTATCATTTAAAGATTCTACAAAGTTAAAGTCACTATTTATGAGCTATGACACTTTTGATAGAGGATATTTTGCTGTTTGTTGCTATAATCTTGCTTGGGCTCTTGTATGATTATATTTGTATACATTGATTATCTCAATTTGGATTATAGGTGTTAGTTCTGAGATAACAAATTGAGTGTAACCACAAGCAATTATACCATGAGTTTTGATACAATCTGCAATTTTTGGCAATGCTAGTATGGTTGTGCCACCAGCCAAGTTGTCTTCCATAGTTGAATATATTAGAGTGTTTTAAGAAACCGGTCTTTTGAGGAATTCCAACTAAGTTGTTTTTTCTATACAATCTTTTTGTAAGAGTTGATGTTCTTATAAAAATATGATGTTAGGTTTTGGAAATATATTTTACATAAATTTCCATAATTCTTGGCACATTTATATGCCTTCTAGTCCTTTTTCAAGGCTTTGGACATTGTATGAAGCTACAATGAGATTGTCACTCATTGGTGGGTAGGTCGGTTTCTTCTCCTAGTTTCTTCTTGAAGCAGACTAATAGAGGGAAGAATGAGAGCATATCGAAGTCTCATAAGGTAGTAATCTTGATTATTTGTCTCCAGAGTGGATGGAATATTAATTTTGTGTAAATAAGCAATGAGTCCTATTGGTTTTTTGTGCTAGAAGATATAGGTTTTTATTACATTATATGCTATTATTTTATGGTGGTTTGATGTTTATCAAATAGTATTACAATAATTCATTTATAGAGTGTCTTAATCTCTTAGGCATTCTACTTTGCTATCCATCTTGCATCATTCTAGTATTATAAGAAATTATACCGGCTATTCTTGTTGATAATCTCTGTGCATAAGCATTGCATTGTGTTGTTCACTATGTGATTTTTTGTTGAATCTTGAGTCCAAGTTGCTTCATCTATTGTATGGATTAATTATATGGTGCATATTGGAGCATTGATATTCTTGTATACTAATGCTTTGATTGAGAGGTTTAGCTTGATATAGACAAACACAAGTATAATTTGACTTTATATTGCTCCAATACAAGAGAGAGAGAGGAAAGAGGTGATTTCTAAGGATTTCTAAAAATAGAAATAGATAGATATGTATTTTTATGTTGTTGTGCCTATTGAAAGAACTTGTTCCTCAATCAATGAAAGGAGATTGTTGGATTTTTTTTCTACTCAGATAAAATTAGTTTTTAAGAAGTTATGTTGTAGCATTTGTTAGAAACCATTTTTTTTTTTTTTTTTTTTTTTTTAGTTTCTATTGTCATCATTCCGTAGTTAATGGAGTTGCCTATGATTGAGGTGTTTGAGGTTGTTTGTTTGGTGCAAGGCCTCTTAAGACTTTCATGTCTCTTTGGAGGGTATTGTTTGGCATGGTCGAAAGTATCTCAATATTGATTGCATTACAAAAGCAAGTTGCTATATTCTATCTTGTATTCTTTTTCACTTCCTATGAAGTAAGGCAAGACCATCACTTGAGGTAATTTAGTCATATTCTTGATTAAAAGTCGAGCTCAAAGACCAGATACTTTATTAAGATATGTGTCGACTGTATTAATGGCAAAGACCTCTCCAATGGTGGTAAATGCTTCAGTGAGGATTTTGGTTGTATAGAGTAATCTTTTCAAATCCTTGATTTGAATTCAAATTGGAAAGGTATGTAGGATTATTGAAATGTCTTTAGGATCAAAGTTCGCTTGCCAAGAGATAAAGAAAATATCTTGATTATTGAATTTAAACTATTTAGTAAGCATATTCATTTTTTCTTATTTGTTGGAGAAGTGTACCTTGAAGTGTCTTTTGCCAAGCATTATGATTGAGGAGTACATTGTATGCAAAGTGCAGGCAGTCCATTCATGTAGAAATCATGGTCCAAGATGTTTCTTCATAGATTATGTTAAAATGTGTCTTTCTTCATATGCAATTCTATCCTTCATCTATTGTAGTGTATTGGAACTCAAGTTGATAGTAATATTTTCTTGTATAGATTCAGTTTGTTTGATAATTAGGAGAGTTAGAGTAAGTATTCTAATAGCTCCTATTGTTATTGTATCAAATCCAAAAGCTTGTAGAATCTATTGTACATCTGATTATGGTTGTGTTGCAATATTCATTACTTCATCTTTTATCATATATTAGTGTATCAATCCTAGTTGTAAATTGATTTGAATAAAGTATTTTGCGGTATCTCATTTTGAGTGAATAAATAATATAAAGGTTGCCATAGTGTGTTGTGCAAATTCTTGTGCCCACTAGTATATCTTAAATTTAAGTTTGATAATACGCTGGTTGACATGTATTGCTAATAGAGACTTGGCTAGCTCTAGTTTTGAGTATGTTGTTACAATTTGATTTCTTCAAGTCTCTATGTGTATATGTCATATTGTCCTTGTAGAATGGAGGTCTTTTGTAAGTGATTTTTGAGGGAGAGTGATGTCTTTTACATATTACAATGGAGTTGATCTGTACACTCTTTTAGGTAGAAAATATAAGGGTTCTACTTTGAAGCTCCTTTTCAATCATTTTTCTTTAGAGTTGAGGCTTTCAAAGCTTACCAAGCTTTCTTCTATACTTGGATCTAAGTGAAGAGTTGGAAGACTTATCTAAAAGTTGAAGTGGTGCATTGTTCTTATCAATGAAATCTTTTTTGGTCCTAAGCACACTCTATGTCATATCGCTAGTGTCTCTAAGAATTGGACTTTGCTCCAAAGTGCATATGTTGTTTCTTTTAAGATGCTACTTGGTCCTAGCTTTTTATGAATACTCTCTATCTTTCTATCCGTTGTGCCTACTATCACTATTTTTGCTATGATGGATTTTGCTAAAATTGAAATCAAAGTTCTAAAAGCACTTTAATCATGCCAATTATACAAATTACTAACTTATTTGATTTGCCATAAAATTTGGATTTATCCCTCACTTGTCTTAACTTGCTTGCAATTTATTGTATTGCAAGCTCTCACAAATTAAGCAAGTAGATACTAAAAATATATAAATTATTTTTTTACTTATAACAATCATTAGTTAAGATAATATATAAAATATTTAGGTTAAGTGATAGATTCCAAAAAACATATA